TGGCTTCCATGACCTCTGTGACAATCTCTTATCCTTAATTATAATCATCATTACCAAGGGATAGTTGGATAATCTGCTTCAGTTTCTGAAAGTAAGGCCTTGCAAATAATTTTAGCTGAGGAAAAAAGGCCCATTCTTGCTCCAACTACCACTGATGGCAAAACTCCCATTCACTTCTGGGGGAAACAGGATCAGGCCCTGACCTTTTTGGTCTGAGCTGTCTGTAGAACTTAGTGCCTGAAGTAAACAGTTAATTTACTGTAGTTATAAAATAAATGAACACAGATGTTAGTAACTAGTTTTTGACATCCACTGGAGAGTATGTACTTTAATGCAGTGGTTCCCAAACTTGTTCCATCGCTTGTGCAAGGAAAGCCCCTGGCGGGCCGGGCCTGTTTGTGTACCTGCCGCATCTGCAGGTTCGGCCCATCGTGGCTTCCAGTGGCCGTGGTTCGCTGCTCCAGGCCAATGGGAGCCGCTGGAAGCGGCGGCCAGTACGTCCCTCGGCCCGTGCCGCTTCCAGCAGCTCCCATTGGCCTGCAGCAGCGAACCGCAGCCACTGGTAGCCGCGATCGGCTGAACCTGCCGACGCGGCAGGTACAAACCGGCCCGACCCGCCAGGGGCTTTCCTTGCACAAGCGGCGGAACAGGTTTGGGAACCACTGCTTTAATGTAAGAAACTGAGGGCCAAGTTCAACCCCAGGTACAACTCCTATTTACTTCATTGGGAGTTATGCCAGGACTGAAAACTGGTCCTAAATCTGAAATTGTCTTATAGTTTAAAAAGACAGTATTAGTCTTTTAATATGGGAATAATCATTGCTTCGTCCGGACATGATTATTTATAACAGGATTTTTCCCAGTGATCTCTTGGTAGCCTCTTGTTATACCAAATTGATAGACCCATATTAGGTTTCCATACATACCTACTTTCTCCCCAGGCCAGTAAGAGCCTTAGCACTCTGGAGGTGTTACACAAGCCTGGGGGGGAAAGACCATTTAAGAGTGTCCTTTAAGGGTTCTGGGAGGAACACTGTTTATTCTTTCTTGGCTGGGAGAAGGCTGTTTGGTGCCTGGCCACCAGAGGTATCTAAAGTGGGTAAAACTATAATCTTCAGGACTCCTTTGATGGTCCTACAGGAACTTGCCAGGCTAGAAAGATGTGCTTCACTGATTTAAAAAATAAATAAAATAAAAAAATCTGTATTTTGTATTTTAAAAATTTTATTCTTCCACTTCCATGATTTATTATCAAAGAAATTCTCTATTTTGCTCAGCACATCACTCTGAATGCTACAGCTCAAATGCTGAGAACTGCACATTACTGTGTAGAAATTGTGATGTATTTGAGGGGTTGGTGGTTAACAAGGATTGATACTCTTGAATCTACTGCTGGCAAGCATTGGGTTGCTGAGATTAAAACCAAATGGAAAATTACATTCTATATGTTTGATATTGCATATGCATAGTGATGAACATGCCAGTAAAAAATTTTCAGCAAGGATGACTGCTTCCAACAATTACATGAATACTGTTCTGAACATAACTGTTATAGTTGGTACATGGGAAGATCTGCCTTTCACCAGTCTTCCAGCTTTCCAACGTCCGTGCTGAGCAAAACTTATATAAATTAGGTATTGCAGCAGTTTAATATTCTATGTAGGCAGTATTACATGAGCACTTCTAAATATTCGAGTAATCCTAACTTTATCTGTGTATATTTTTGAGTAATTTTTATTTTAAAATTACTAGAACCACAGTTCAAACCCGTGACTAAGGAGATGTTTATGGCTGTACCAAGGATTATCAGAAGTACTGTTAAATTAGTGGACCTGAACAGCTTTTACAGGGAATTATTTAACTACTTTGTTCTAAATGGGAACAGGTAAGAATTGAAAGAATATATCATTATTGGTTTTCAAGCCTTTAATTTTTAATAGTTCATTGGTGTGACTGATAAATCATAACTTAATGTAGACTTTTTTGAAACCAAACAGCAACTAAGTCTGGAATCGTCATATTGTAGTCCTCATATTCCCTCCCCCCATCCACACTCCTTATTTGAGTAGCGTTGGGTTAAATGAAAATATCAATGATCTTTACTCATATTTTAGCAAAATTAAACAGCAAGTTCAACAGAAATAAATTGTTTAATTTAGTTTAGACCTGGCCTTAAATATCTACGATAGAAAAGATTTGCAGGTATAGCTATAGCAGTAAAACCTCTTAGTGTGGTTGCAGTTTATTGATTTAAAAATGCTTTTGCCAGTATGCCTTTTTCCAGTTTGACAAGCTAAATAAGCTATATCTATAAAAATACTTTTACATTGGGATAACTGTGTCTACATTAGGGTTTTTGCCAGTATAAAATTGTTACAAACCCTCTACCCCCACTCACACATACATACCCCTAACTGACATTGCTGTATCAGGGGAAGTTTCTAGTGTAGACCTGGCTTAAGATGTTGAGCAACATTTTTGAGAAATTATTTATGAGAAGAACTTGGGCTCTGGCTTTTCAGATTTCAGTAAATACTTTGCTGAATAGTTTGCACTTGTCTTGCAGAGCAGCATTGAGTGTTGCACAGATGAACAAGATGAATATGAAAGCCACCAATTCCAGGCTACAAATCCTGAAAGAACTTTCCATTGTAGAAATTGACAAACAAGGAAATGCTAAGTTAACTGTGTATATTTAAGCCTAAATGAACTAATCATATTTTGATAAAAGGAATTTGGGTGCAGCTCCTGGCGTATTGGAAGGCAAATAGTTCTCTGTTTATAAAAATGATGCACGTGAAAATTTGTTGTTAATGTGACTGTATTAGGATTCTCTTTGTAATACCGAATTATGAATTAAAAACCATATAACAAGTTTTGTAAACTACTTTGTTTTTAAGATTTGTAGGAGATAATGGACAGAATCACATTTTTAACTCCATCATGTTTCAGTACTTGTTTTCCTGCGTGGGAATTAATGGCATCTAACCAAAATTTTTTCCTTCTACTTGGATTCCTGAGTAAGTGATATGAAAGCCAAGTAGGCTATAAAAGTTTTAGTACTTTATAGGTCACAGTTCAGGGCAATTGGCCATGTATTCCCCATCAGCGGCCCAGCAAGGGCACCCACTTTTAGGCTTCTGGTTCCTCAGCTGTTACCTGTCCTGGACAGAGACACGCATCTTATTTCCTCCTGACCAGGATATTTCCAGGCTGCACCGTTCCCTGCCTACACTGTGAATTCCCCCACAAGACCGACCGCCTAAGCAGGTTTGCTTTGCCTTCTTTTCAGAGTCTGTAATCCATGTGATTGCCCACAGTTAAGTTACTACACAGCTCTTTCTAAGTAAGCACAGTTATTCTTAAGGTAAAAGCATTACAGAGAACTCACTAAAACAATAAAAGAACCTACACACATACTAATAAGCTTACCAGAGCATACCCCTACTCCAGCAATGGCTTTGACAGATGATTAGTCTTTCAAACCCCACCCCAAGGGGTTTTCCTCTGGTTACAAGTTCATAACCATGGTAGTTCAGAACAAGCACACTTATGAGTCTGAGAGTCTCTTCTTTATATGGTTTGGCTCTTTGATCTTAGACAGTGAATAGGTAATCAGTAAGACAATGGGTTTCTCCTCAAGGTGTAACTTCAAAAGGCTGAGTCTGAAGGTGAGGAATTTGCATTCTCTTTCCCTTTCCCCCACAAGTTTCTCAAGGAAACCCACTTAACTTTTTATAAATTCACTTTGTTTCAAATCACTCTTTTGAAACTGATAGCACTTCCCAGGGTTTACATTGATCAGGTCTCCTCCCTAGAAGTGTTACATACATTTGTAATACAATAAACTCCTAAAACATTAAAACTTAATTCAATAAGTTTGTACAGGGTATTGCAGGAAATTTCAGCTTACCTTCTGAATCTCCCAATAACTGATTTCCGTAACCATTTTATAAGTCAATGGCCTGACTTAGTCACCATTCCAGAATGTCTTTTTAAAATGTTTAGCATTCATACGAATAAGAAAAAATGATAGAACTAGTTAAAGCCTGCCATGGTACTGCTAGGCCTGTTGCAGTTCTACATAATATCAAATCAATCATCCAAACTACATCTCTTTTGTACACCAACCACGGATTCCAGCTTTTCGGGCTTCTCTTTTTGCAGGTGATAGCTAGGCTTATTGGCTCCATAACTATTGGCAAGGAAATGCCACATGACTTTCTCAAGATTCTGTAAATTTTTTGTTTTTCCTTAAGGTTTTATTTTTAAACAGAGAGGACTGAGGACAGTTTTAGTAAATCCAGAGCCCTATAAATTCTCTAGGGACCACTTCCTGCTTCAGTAAAAGCAACTGTCCAGAGTTCCACAGCTGCAGAATCTGTTGCAAAAATACACTGCCCAAGGAATTGTATTACCCTTTTCAGATATCTAGTATGTTATAAGAGCTGAAATGCAAAATCCACAACTAGTTTAGAATATTGCATGTTCTTTGCACTGAACAAATAGATGGTGGGTTTGTTTGGTGTTTGTGCATGTGAAAATATCTAAAATTTGTTCCCATCAGCTCCACTCAAAATAAGGCTGCTACTTCAACACCAATCAAAGAATACTCTACTCAGCAAGCTATTTGGCTGGTGTTTTATGTAGTAATAAGAAATGAGATTGAACACTGACCAAATTATAATACCACATCCATATTATATGCTATAAAAAACAAATTATATATATATATATATATATAGCTCTGGATCCAGTCCCACAAATCCTTCCTGTAGAAACCTCCCATTGATTTCAGTGAGTTCTGAATATGGAAGGCTTGCAAGATTGGGCCCTTTGTTTCCTCTTTGACATAGGACTATATGCAACTCCCACTTAAGTCAATGGGAATCTTTCAGTTGACATTAATGGAAGTTGGATTAGACTCATAGTCACTATTAAAAGATGATTAATTCTTGGCATGTTTCGTCTGCTGTATCGAAGTCACAGGACCAAGGCATAATTTCTGGAAGCATTTAGAGCATTTACATCTATAAGTCCTTGTGGCAAGTTTTACTGTCTAAACTTCAGACTTAATGTTTTTAAATGGATGTAGTGGATTACTTGCACACCAACTATTCATAATTTGTAGATTTTGTTTTTAAAACAAAAAGCTTCCTGAGGAATGCTAGTCTGTTTTGTAATAACATTGTTTGTTCACCAATGTATTTTTAGGCATCTTGCAAAAATGCAGTGCAGTTAAAACTACAGTAGAACCTCAGAGTTACGAACCCCCACAAATAGAGGTTGTTCGTAACTCTGAAATATTCATAACTGAACAAAACGTTATGGTTCTTTCAAAAGTTTACAACTGAACATTGACTTAATACAGCTTTGAAATTTTACTGTGCAGAAGAAAAATATTACTTTCCCTTTATTGTTTAGCAGTTTACATTTAACACAGTACTGTACTATATTTGCCCTTTGTGTGTGTGTGTGTGTGTGTGTGTCTGCTGCTACCTGATTGTGTACTTCCGGTTCCAAACAAGGTGTGTGTGGTTGACTGGTCAGTTTGTAACTCTGGCGTTCATAACTCTGAGGTTCTACTGTAATAACAACTTACTTACAGTAGGTGGCCAGAATCTTAGTTAGATCTGCTGGGAAAAAGCTCTCCAAAGGCAACTATGGAATTCACCTTTGTTTTGAATATTCTAAAGATCAACACACTGAATAACTTATCAGCGAGTGTAATAAGAACCATTGAATTAAGTATTTGGAAAATGCTAGAGTATGTGCTTCCTTTTTGAGCTTGTGAACTGATATTGTAGAAAGTGGAATAATTTCAACTTTCATTTTCTTAACATTTCCTTGTGAAATCTTTTTTTTTTTTTTTGGTTCATTTTTAAAGGAATATGGATTGACATAATTTAAGTACAAATTAAATGAATAGTTTCCAATAAAGTTACTGTACATTACGGTTTATGGAATGTTTGTCTTCATACTGAACTGGCAGAAGGGAGCTGTTTTATCTTAGTTTGCACTGTGGATAAATAGCAAGCTGTAACATTTTTTAGTATTCGTGTAGCTCACAAACCTGACGTATTGAGAGATGCATAAAAGACTGAGTAAAGTTTTGTTGCTGGCAGCCACGTGTATCTCTGGACAACCAGATTACAAACAGCTGATGCTTTTGTCTTACTCTGAGATGGAGTGGCTACCGTCACATGACTCTTCTGTAATAAGGTAAAATACATCCTGGAATAGTACGTACAAAAACTTCCTATAGGATTTGATTTTTGAAGATAATTGTTTCTCTAGATATGTTCACACACTGTTGCAATACATTGTGTTTTCATATATGCTTTTTTTTACGGGAAATGCATGAACATACTATGAGTTCAAATAGTGATAAATGGAAAAAAGTATTTTAAAATTATAGGAAATTTGCTGTTTCACAAGCTTGCAATCATAGTAATTTCAATGGCCCATTTCACTGGGTGGTAGTGATCAGTTATTTTATTTCAGTATATGCACTTAAAAAATACAAAATAAAAGAACCTCTCCTGTACTCAAGGTGTCTTGAAAAGCGATTAAAATTACTATCTATGGACTTGCTCCTTAAACTCTACCCAGAAAACTAAGTGGCACATAGTACAGGTACTGCAGCTTTTACATAGTATTATATAAAATATTAGTTATTGTATACTACAGTTAGTCCATAAATATTTATTGCACTCTGAAATAATTAACATAAGAAACAATATGTAGATATCTGAGCAACTATTGTGAATTTCAAAGTAAATGTCCTTATTCTAATTATTTATTTCAAATTCATTGTTGTTCCGATAGTGTAATGTACAATTGAATGTGCTTTTTCATAAAACATAAAAAAGAAAATAGTGATCTTTTTACTGTACCAAATTCTATTCTGCTTCAAGTTGACTTTTTAATTATGTTGCCTGGACAACCATAACAACAAACATTCTGAGGGACAACTATAAACATCAGAAGGGGAGGCTACTGATGCATTAAATGACTTTTTTAGAGAATACCAGAACATGAACTGCTTGCTCAGCTGGGAAGCTTTTTCTCTTCACAACTACTAAATTTCCCTTAACCTATGCAGTTTTTTTTTGTATTACAGTCAAACCACATGGTTAAACTGTGCAATAAAAGAATTACTTGGTTTCTGATTCAAGCTATTGTGGTGTGGCATAGCATAGCATAGCAACCACCAGACTGCTATCTTTTTATAAACCTTCCCAGTTTAGATTACATGCAGAAATCAAACAATTAAAATACTCCACATTTTTTTTTTTTTTTATTTTGAGATGAACTCACTTCACAAACTGATAAACAAAAGATTATGCTTGGTTAAGTCAAAACTGTCAGTCACTTTCTGTTCTAGAGTCAGGCTGCTTTGCTCTCCCTCTCTTCTGGAATGGTAAAGATTAAATTGCTTGTCACTTGGATGAAGTGACATGAGTGATTGGGGGTGGGCAACACTGCATCTGAAATGGTGCAGAGTGTGATTTAAAGGCAAATGTAGCTAAAGATAAACCATCTGCAGGGCCACTTTAGAAATTGGTTAAATTCTGAAAGTCTGTCTCTGTCCTTGCAGCTAAATTGTGTTTAGTGGGGATTTGGTTGCAACTGTTGCTGAAACCCACTGTCAGCAACAGGCTACTCTGCTAATGTAGACAAAGTTTAAGACAACAGAGTTTAGGATTCTTAGAACTAGGACTAAGGCCTAACAATAACTGCTTCCTGCAGTTGCAGAAACTCAGTAGGGTTGCTGGCACATAGTACAGGTAGTAAAGGTCTAAAACTAAGCTCAAATCCCTACTTTGAAGAAACATTTGCAACAGCTACAGGGAACTGTATTTAAACTTGTTTAGGAGTTAGTGATGTCATCAACTGTAGCAGGGCAACAGAGAACACTCAGCTGTGTATCTGGCAGGTATGTGAGGGGGTGATTATTAATAATGGCAACCAGAGGCATTAAAAAAAATCATTTTCAGGGCCCCCAAAAATATTAAATTGGTATACCTGTCATGATTTCAATACAAAGAACTCAGTATTATTTATTTCCCTTCTGTGGGGTTTTTATTAGCTTTTAAAGCTTTTCTTTGCAATCCTGAGCCCTAGAAACTACTTTAGGTAACAGTCACACTTTTTTTTTTTAAATCACATAATTGCAGGATTTGGTGATTTTTGGTAAAATCCCCAATATTGTAAGAGTTGGCAATATTGACACTTTAAGCTAGTTGGAGCAGAGATGATGTCATGGGCTGGATTTTTCAGAGGACCTGAGCACCCTTAACTCCAATAGAAATCAATGGGAGCTGCTTGTGCTCAATACTTCTGAAAATGGTGCCCTTTAATCTGTGTGTATAGTGTCGGAGGCAGGGGGGAATTTCAGATAGGGCATTTGAGGGCTACAGTAATGTAAATGTTTAATACATTTACAGGGCCTGATGTGTTCTTAAAATGTTTACTTTTATCATTGACATAGAACTGGAATAGTGAGAAAGCCCTTTTAAATGTAAAAAATCTGCTTACATTAAACAACGATAAAATGTTCAAAGGAACCATCTAGTTTTCACAAACTGTACTTCAAACTTATTTTACTGACAAATTTTTAAATGGGTCAAAGGAGCCTGTGCTCTCACCCCTGATACATTCTCTGAAAGCAAGAAGCTGCCCAGTCTGTAACACCATCAACTCTCACACTACAGGTTTGAAACTCAGTATCCCTATTGAGCCCAATTGTATCAATTCTGGCTAATGTGCAAGACGCTCTTACAGGAGTGTAAGATCATGCTGGATGTGAAATAGTCTACTTAAGGAAACCCTTGCAGTTGCCATTTTGAAAATCGGGAATGGATACAGCATTCACAACTACTGTAGGGAACAAACAATCTTGCAGTGGTCAGCAGAGGGAAGGAGGTTTGAAAAGAGAAGCCAAGTCTTTCCTACTGGTAGCAGTACTAGCATGTATAAGTACTAGCATGTTACTTTCTATCTCAATTTCTATTTTTCTATAGCATGATGCAGGGGACAGTAGACACAATAGAGGCCATGGCATCCTGCCTAGTGATTGTCTGACCTGTTAATCACCAGTAATGACTTACAGGGAGACCTCTACAATTTTACATTGGTTTTTATATTTTTTTCCTGATGGGTGCTGTAGTGAGGCGCTCAAGCCTTTCTGAGAAACATTTTTAAAATCCCTTTTTGCATGGACTAAATGTGAGGTAGCCCTGCCCGTGCTACTGCTTGCAAACTAGGTCAGTATCCTCTTCCTGGCTCCAGTGAGATTGGAGGCTGGGGCCAAAGATGGTGCACATTGCCGACGCTACTGCCTGCGGAATAAGGAGGGAAGATTGAAAGCTTATTTACCAGCCTGCAAAACTGGGCCAGGGTTACAATCTCCTACCTAATGCTGCAGCGTGTGGGAGAGGGGGTTACACACTCTGTGGACGCTGCAACCTCCAGCCGTGGGAGAAGAGAAGGGAGCTGTATCTTGTCCTTAATTTGTAATGAAAGAGGGGGGTGGGAGGGGAACCTGTACCCTCTGCTGATGCTGCATCCTCAGCAGGTGGTGGGAGGTTGCATCCTCTGCGGATGCTGCAGCAGTGGGAGAAGGGGGGGGGCTGATTCTGCAGGTGCGGGGGGGGGGGGGGGCTGACTCTGCAGATGCTGCAGCCTCAGCAGGTGGAGGGGGCGGGGACTGCGCCCTTTGCGGATGCTCCACCCCAGCGCGCCCAAGGCAGCGTCCAGGCCCCTGCAGCAGCAGCAGAAGGGGAGGCGGCGCTGGCGGCGCCTGCGCACTGAGGCTGGGCGGGTCACGTGAGGGAGGGGCCCGGCTCCCTCAGCCGCAGGGCGGGCAGGCGGGAGGCCGAGCTGAGGGCGGAGCCGCCGGCGCCCCGACCCCCTGGGCGAACATGGCCGGTAGCTAGCGGGTCCGGGGCGCTGCGGAGGGAGCCGGGCCGGTGAGGAGCAGCCTCTCCCCCGCGGCTCCTTACGCTCTTCCCCCCCCCTTTCTCTCCCGCAGGGGCTGCGGCCGGGACCTGCTCCCCGGGGCGCTGGGGAGACTCCCCGCTCCGGGCGGGCGCCGGGAGAGCCGAGGCCATGGACGAGCAGAGCGTGGAGGTGAGGGGATGGGCAGCAGCCACCTGCTGGGGCGGGGCGGGCCCGGCTCCCCTCGCTGCTGGGCACTGGCGGGAGGCCGCCTGCGCCCGAGCTGGGGGGGAGGGGTGCCAGGACGCCTGGGTTCGCCCCGGCTCCCTGTGCGGCCCTGGTCCCTTGTGCGGCAGGTCGAGGTGAGCAGCGCTCGGCTGCCAGGTCTCGCTGGTTGCAACGGTGCTGGCCACCTGGGCTGGCTGCACAGGAAAGTTGGGCCTCGCCCACCCGCTAGGATGGTCTGGGCATCAGTCTTGGGGAAGGGAGAACAGGTGGCTGATGTTTGGGCTTCCAGAAAGCCTCCAACGGAGCCCCTTGCTAGAGAATAAGGAAACTAGGGCCTGGCCTCTACCCAAAAACTTAAGTTGTCCGAGCTATGGCGCTCAAGGGGTGTGAATCGTCCTCTCATTTCACGCCCCTGAGAGGTGAAGTGAGGCTGATATAAGCTGCAGTGTCAACACCGCTAGCTCCACGGAAGAATGTTTTCATTGACCTAGCTACAGTCTCTTGAGCAGATGGATTTGCTACAGCAACAGAAAAAAAACTCTTCTGTCTGTAGCAAGTGTCTACACTACAGCAGTGTAACTGCAGCTGTGTCACCATCGTGCTTGTAATGTAGACGTACCAGGAGTAGTTGTGGGGTGAGAGATCAAACAGTGCTGTAAGGTATTGCCCGAGAGGCAGAAAACAAAGTATAGGTGTAAGTGGGTGTTTTTCAGCATGTCACAAGGCAATGGCTGGGTGCCACAAGGTTCTGTACTGAGACTTGGGGTTTAACATATGCATTAATGATCTGAAAAAGGGAGTGAGCAGTGAAAGCGACAAAAAATGCAGGTGACACAAAATTATTTAGGTTAGTCTAGGTTAGAGAAGATTTGAAGAACTTCAGAGACACATAACAAAGCTAGGAATGGAGAGCATGATGCCTGATTAACCTTAGTTTTGACACGTGAAAGGTAAAATGCACATTGGACGGAGTAATTGGAATTCATCAGACACTCTGCTGCTGTATTAGTTGTAACCACACAAGAAAAAAGTCCAAAAACCATTGTGGACAGTTTTCGTGAAAAAACATCAGCTCAGTGTGTAGTAATAGGAAACAAACAATATTATGGTATAGGAAATACAGAAAATATTATTATGCCGCTTGTATAAATAAATAAAACGTTGCCCTCATCTGAAATACTGTATTCAGTTATGGTCACCTTTTCTCAAAAATTATAGCAACAATAAGATTTCAGAGGTAGGAGACAAGTGTTTTGAGGTATGGAAAGGTTTATGTAAGGAGAGAATGAGAAGATTGAGATTGTTTAGTTTAGATAGGAGATATAAGGGCTTATGTACACTGGGAAATTGACCATCATAGCTCTAGCAGATTAACTATTCAGCTACAGTTACTCTGGAATAAGTGATTTTTGAGCTGTCCTCTGGATTCTTTCCAATTTGTCCACCTCCTTCCTAAATTGTGGTGCCCAGAATTGGACACGGTACTCCAGTTGGGGCCTCAGCAGTTCTGAGTAGAGCCGGGACAATTACCTCCCATGTCTTACATACAACACTCTTGTTAATACACCCCAGAATCATATTGGCAATTCATATTCAGTTGAATGTTGATACATTGGAGATGGTTCAGTGAAAAGCCACAAGAATGATTAAAGGATTGAAAAACATGCCTTACAGCGATAGACTTAAGGAGCTTTCTAACTTAATAAAGGGAAGGTTAAAGGGTGAGATCACAGTCTATAAGTACCTACATGGGGAACAAATATTTGATAATGTGCTAATTGGTCCAGCAAGCTATTATAACAAGATCCAATGACAGTAAGTAGTTAGGCAACTTCAGACTGGAAATAAGGTGTACATTTTTAACAATTAGGGTAATTGGATGTTTCTCTAAAAAATATGCTCTAGTTGAAATAGGAATTATTGTGGAGAAGTTCTATGGCTTGTGCTATCAGGAGGTCAGACTCAGTGATCACATTGGCCCTCCTGGCTTTAGAATCTGGTTCTGTATGTGTAGAGTGCTTGTTCATTCAGGCTATTCAGTGTCATACGCATACAAGTGGGAATAGTGTCTTTTGGCTATAGACATATACAGATGGAAAAAAATAAAGTGATAAAACAAAGTGAGCTAACAGCATGTTCATGGAAAAGGAGAAAATGGGAAAGTGTGATCCATGGTTGTTTGTCTTGGGACATGCCACCATCATGATTCAAGTCCAACATGTCATCCATAGCCTTGCAGAGTAGGACTTATTGTTATTAAATCTGATGCTTTGACTGCTGAACATCTAACAAGCTTCAAGTGTATATCTTACCACTGGTGTGAATCTTAACTTTTTGCAGAGCATTGCTGAGGTGTTCCGATGTTTTATTTGTATGGAAAAGTTGCGTGATGCACGTCTGTGTCCACATTGCTCCAAGCTATGTTGTTTCAGTTGCATTCGGGTAAGTTCACATTTTATTTTCTAATTTCTATGTATACATAGATTATTAACTAAAGAGCTACAGGGCAAACTTACTTGTCCTTGTTGGAGCACTGAGAGTTTCCTTTCCTTACTCTGTGCTCCTTGTTTCTCCCTATAAAAGTTATGACTTGTACCATGACCAACCCTTTTGGATCACTCAACACCGCTTAATTGACTGGAAGAGTCACTTTTGAGCAACAAGCATACAACAGTCCCTTCCTCTAACATCTCATAAGGGGCCTTTTCAGTGGTGCTTGCCTGGGAAATGAGACCTAGACCTGCAGTACAGAGTTCTGCTAGGCCATAATACCTTTGTCATTTGTGAGGCCCTGTCCATACTAAAACAGGCTTCAATCATGGCTGCTGAATTGTTTGCCTGGCACCATGTTCAGAAACCATGCTAGAAGCCTGTTGAGTGGGTAGTTGGGTAGTCTTGGGCATGGTTTTGCCTGCCACAAAATTATGAGCACTGAAGTACCAAGCCAATCGCTACTGTTGTATTTGACAATAACACTTACAGCATGGTTTTGAGTGTAGGACCTATGACTTGTGAAGGTGGAAAATTTTGAGATCTTGGGTAGCGTTTATGGATCTGGCAAATAGAAAAACCATCCTTTGACTTGTAACTTGTGCACATGATTATAGATCAAGATATTAAGGACTCTAACCAGGCATTAAGGATGCTAGTTGGGTTACTGTTGCCCTCTGGAAGTGGTTCTTAACTTTTTTGGGCTCAGGACCCATTTGTAAACCTTGATGGGCTGTCATGACCTTGAGATATGCCCTCAGACCTAATTCTCCTCCTCCCAGTGGTCTGTCCTTGGTGAGGGGGAGCTTAGAGTTCAGATTCCAGATACTTTGGCCAGGTGTGAACAGCTGGGCAACCCATCCCCCACTGGCAACTTGGGGGAAGGGTGGTAAGATGAGACACCCACCCAAAAAAACAGTCCCCCCCACATGGTGCATGGGGCACAGAGGATAAAGCAGGGATTTGGGGTCCTGGAGGTAAAGGGGGAGCCTAGGGGTGTAACGAGGAAGAACATGGGGGTGGAGGGGTCTGAGGGAGGTACAGCAAGCCAACACCTCCTTAGAAAACACACACACCCCACACATGGCCCGTGGGAGGCAGAGAGTAAAGAGGATTTGGGGTCCTTGGGATAAAGTGGGTGGGCTGAGGGAAGGAGTTGGTGGGCAGAAAAGGCTAGGAGTACAGTGAGGGAAGATCTGGGGGGCTAGGGGCTAGGATGGTCAGTATGATGGGGAGGAGTCATTCAGCTGTGGGGGAAGGATACATTGGGAGGCCCATTCTGGAAGGGATGGGGGGCAGGATGGGGTATGGAAAATGGGGTGTCACCTGGCAGTGGGACAGGGGATTATCTTGGAGGGGGGAAAGTATCCACGGGAGACTGTGACACCAACTGTACCCTCCCAGCTCCTGTCCTAGGGGCCCAGCTGGGCTCAGCTTCCCATTCTGGGCATTGTGACCTGGCGCATGGGGTTACAGTGCCCCTCATTCAAATTCGGCCCATCCATCCCTCTGTCATCATGTCAGAGGGGCGGGGTGGGCCAAATCTGCTACACTGTTCAACACATCACAACATCCAGAGCAGAGAGAGCTGAGTTCAGCCAACCCCATGACCCTTTGACACTTTCTGGTGACGCAATTTTGGGTCATAGCCCCTGGGCTGAGAAACTTTGCTCTGGCAGATAGGAGTTTTTAATCCGAGACTTTAGAAATAGTAGTTTGAATAAGTTAAGCAGTTTTATCACTAAAGTTTGAATTTGCAGGTTATATTAAGGTGATCCAGTTCTTACCAGGCCTATATGTGCCTTTTTAATGAAATTTATCTTCCCGACCCTGCCATTCAATGCCTACTGGATTGCTAGTCAATAAATCAATTAATTGTAATATCTCCTGAAGGAAAGCTATATGACTAGCTAAGTAGCAGAATATGTGGTTCTTTGAAAACTAGACTGGAGAGGCAGAGTGAAACACCTGCAATATCTTTGCTTTTTACTAGAATATGCCCCTCAGTGTATAACTATGGGACTATGTGATAGATTCTGTGCCTTCTGGTGGTATGCCAGACATCTCAAAACTCCCTTTACTGTAACAGTAGAACTGTTGTTAAATCAACTCTCCTCACCCCAAAAAAAGCCCCTTCTGTTTCTTGTGGGGGTTAAAATAGTTGTATGTTAAACTGAGATTGCTTGTATTGGCTAAATCCCATGAATTTAAAATCATGAGTGTAAATAAGGGAAAAATACAGGAGGCTTGGCACAGGAAAAATGACTTATAGTATAAGAGAGACAAAAGTGAAACCAGTGTGTGTGAATGTTCCATATCTTTAACTCTCTTGTGTGTCTCAAAATGTGCCTATCCTCTTTTTCTATAGCGTTGGCTGACTGAACAAAGAGCTCAGTGCCCTCACTGTCGGTAAGATATTTTTAATAAATTAAAAATACACTATAACTCTGTAGTCAGCTTTCTTGTGGTTATTAGGTGTGTGGAGTTTCTTCTTCTTTTTTTTTTTTTTTTTTTTGGTCTCGGTAAGTATACCATGTGTATCACAAGCTTCTCTTTTGAAGGTTGTTCTTAATGTGATATGAAGCGTTATCTAAACTGGCAAAGTAATTATTTTTAAATCTTTTTTTAGTATGGCCAGGAGTGACCTATGTAAAATTTTGGTGATCCACACCATGTTATTCCATCCATTTAAGGGATATAACCACATCTAGCCAGAAGAAGTGGACAGGACTCCTTTCAGAACTATTCAGTGTCACTCCTTGAATGGCCAGCACAGGGACCAAACAACGCTTCTAGCTTTTAGACTGACTGAAATTTACCCTCTTTCTATAGATCTATGAGACAGACATTTCCAGGAATAAACATGTTGCAGCGTGCCCAAAGAGGCAAGCGGCATGCACATTCTTAACATTTGTGTCCCATAAGTACAGAGCTTGAAAAAATCCACTTCCTAATGGCAAGTAAGACACTTTTTCTTGTGAGGTAGGTTAGCAACCAGTTTCTTCAGAATGTAAGCTCTTTATATTAAAAGCAAACAAACCAAAAACCTTGAAGTTCTAAGCCTGATGGGTTTTGAAGATAACCTTTCAAATGTGAACTTATGCATTGTAGACAGACAGCTTTATTGTGTCTGCTATTACTCATATGTTTTCTAGCAGAACAGTGGAATTGACAAAGCCAATCCATTTCATTGGTGTTCTTTAGAACCTTGAAATCCTGAAACTGAGTTCTTGAATCTGGGGCTTTTTTGCCTTCCTCTGCAGCATGGGGCCTGGGTCACTTGCAGGTTTAAACTAGTGTAAATGGTGAATTCTCTGTAACTTGAAGTCTTTAAACCATGATTTGAGGACTTCAGTAACTCAGCCAGAGGCTAGGGGTCTATTTCAGGAGTGAGTGAGGTTTTGTGGCCTGCAACATGAAGGTCAGACTAGATGATCACGATGGTCCCTTCCAACCTTACAGTCTATGAATCTAACTTTAGCATTTTGTTTATTTTATTTATTTATTTTGCAGAGCCCCACTCCAGCTACGGGAACTTGTAAACTGTCGTTGGGCAGAAGAGGTTACGCAGCAGCTTGACACACTTCAGCTATGCAATCTCACTAAGCATGAAGAAAATGAAAAAGACAAGTATGTAGTATAGACTCTTCTAAAATTTGAGGATTTTGTAGTTTGTCTCAAAAACAGCAGACATTTAATTCCACTCTCTTAAAATTAGAGAATGGATTGTAATTCCTAAGTACTGAAAACTGAAATGTGCCAGCATGTAATAGAAGCAGTCAGTAAGTATGCTTCCTTTTATGCTGTCCAACTGAAAGGTGGTAAGAGTTTGGCAGTTGATTATTTTATTTATTTATTTATTTCTAGAAATGGTACCAGTTTCTGTAAGTAGCACTAAAAGCTAAGTCTTTACAGGTCTTTCTGTTTTTATTACCTTGAAAGTTACAGTTAGATTAGCCTGGCCTAACATACTTTGAGTGAAGGGCTTGGGAAGATTGAAGAGGGTTCCTCTTTCATATGGCTCGTAGCCATTCACAGTGACCATATGGACACCAGATGATGAAAGCAAAGAGGGCATTTTAGAGATTCCTCTGATAATGCATTCAGAAACCTAAAGGGACTCCTGGGTGTGCTAGTGCATAAGCCTAGACGAGTCTTTACGTATTTATTTCCCCTATGACATTTGGTCTAAGGCATGCATGGTCTAAAATCCCTCCATGTAGGATTTGCAGTGATGTGGAGAACTAAGATTTATTGGTCATATATTGTGCAATTTAAGTGTCACTTGTAAATGCCATTTCTCCTTGGATTTCATATAGTGGAGAAAACTATGTGAACCAGCTTCTTAAATCTTCTGATACGGGCATTCTCTGATACTTGGATAGCATGAAGAATACAGTGTTAATATCACAGCAAAAAGGCATCCCCCTTTGGAGAACTGCAATTTGCAATATTCCATAATATTGCTGATTTTTGCGGTTTATTTTATTGCTAATCATTATAGCACATGAATAGATAAAGGTGCTGGAGTAAAGCTCATTGGGACAGTATTGAGAGTTCCTGCAAAGAATGGGCAGAATACAGCAGGAAATAAGGGAGGATGTACAAAGATGGGAAAGGGGATAGGGGAAAAAAGGAAGGGTAGGAATAGCAATTTGGTTTTTTCCTCCCAAAGTGAGAATATTTTCCACTGAGCAGTGGTGAATAAGGCAATAAAATAATTCATAATTATAACAAAGTATAGTAGTTCTTCAAGTCTGTGTCCGTGTGGATCCCATTCAAGATGCATGTGTGCCTCATGTGTATCTTGAGGGCAGTCCACACTGAGAAACTGTCTTTAAGAACCACAGTTACTATAAGGTAAGTAACTGTTCTGAACTGCATAAAGGCACTATTCCATCCTTGGTCTTTGTGCAGACTTCTCATTTACATCATTCAGAGATCTGCTGTGATGATGCTTTATAAGCCTGCTCACAGACTATGAAGAATCTGGGATACTGTAGTGACAAAACAATATTTAAAACCACTGCCATTGGTTCAGAAATCAGCCGTTTTCATGAACAAAGGTACAGAAAAAGAAAAAAATTGAGCTGATGAAAACGATAGCACTAGTTGAAGCCACAATTAAAGACCAATATAAAGCAACCCTTCAGATGTCACATTTCCTAGTTTAACTATCTGATGGTCAAATGTATGCAAACTAAGACATTGAAATATTGAATTTCTGTGTATTTAATTTGTTGTTGCATTCTGTATAAGTAGTCCTTTTTCTTTAATTATTCGTTCTAGTTTCTCTATACGCTTCCAGGAAAAATAGGTTGACAAAAAGTCATCAAAGAATTCATCTGAATGTATATATCTTGCACAGAGTCCTGGAGACAGTATTATAAGTGACTAGTTTCACCCTTACTGCAGAAGAAGGCTGGGACTTCTTATGATACATGAATCAGCTTTCTATATTCAGTGGCCATATATAGGCAAGAAGTATTATACCGTTTTTTGAGAGTCCCTGAACCGTGTGTGCTGTCATCTGGGTCCGGTACTGATAGAAACTTTACAGTAAAGCCAGGCCACCATGGCCCTCTTAAGTCTTGAAAGGAACATACTTGAGTAACTTGATTTCCCTTTATCTTGGACCCAGATTGCTAAGCGGAGCTGAGAAACCTGTGTTTAAAGAAACTCGTCATTTGCCATTTGCTTTGAGAGAGTAGTCTTGTTACATATGAACCTTCTTCTAGTTAAAATATTGATGCCTCATTTTGGCACTTAGATGCCACATTGATCCACACCTCAGAATACTTTAGGTTTACAAAACCTTTCTGAGTTACTAGATTGTTGGCATTTCAATCATTTGAAATTTTTAGCTTCTAGAGTCAGTGAATTCAAAGCCTGGTTCATTAGTATACCATGCAGCTAAGATGGTGCTTAAAACCAGTTTCCAGAGTGCACTTTCTCACCTCCAGGAGAAACTTCCTGGGAAGATATTATATGTGAGATGAAGTAAAACAATGGCATGCTTTGCGATGCAAGAAGAATACATCTAATTAATTTTGCTATTGGGAAACCATTTTTAACGCCTAGATTTTGAGCTTTGCTCTCAAAATCATGTCAACAAAACAAATAAGCTTCTGAACCTTTTGCAGACTCCCCACACCACTATGTAATTTCCCATCACTGTTTTTTTTTTTTTTTTTTAAGGTGTGAAAACCATCATGAAAAACTCAGTGTATTCTGCTGGACATGTAAGAAATGTATCTGTCACCAGTGTGCTCTCTGGGGAGGAATGGTGAGTAGAAGGCTTGTAGCATGTTATGTCCACGTGGAGCATAGGAAATTATCTTAGTAGTGCCTGAATTGTATTACAGAAGCAATGCCAATGGCATGAAATTGTTAGTATTGTTTTCAAATTACCTTTAAAATACTCTAGTTACAGTATGTGGACAAATGAGTCTTATGAATTTTGACTTAGATAATGTTTCCTATTACAAGTTCAAGCTTCTTCTGGAAAGATGCTAGAATTACCATCCTGAGTATGAATTTAGTAACCAAGACTATTGTAGATAAACTGAAAGTGACAATGAATTCCTAGCACAAAAAATAAATGTTTCACATAATCATGTAACACAAATTACATTTGTGTTGCACATACTCAGCAATAATCTTCAGTAGTTGAAAGCTAGTCTTAAATTCAAAAGAAACAACCATCTTTTTTTTTTTGAAACACTGTCTGTAGGCATCTGCTCACTCTTTTCCAACCTGAGTGGAAACTAGAACACACTTTCCCTCATTTATCTTTTACACAATGTGGCCAACTGTAAGAACTACCTTAGACTTCACTGTTAAGTGTTATAAATCCGAACGACTGAGGAGGCACTCTCCAGTCATGTTTGGCCCAAAAGTGAAACTCGTTAACAAAACCTTTTTTTTTTTTTTTTAAAAACAAAACAGAGAGGTATTTTTGTGACACTTTCAAATGTTCTGTTTTTACAATTCAGCTTATTTTTATTGTAGGAAAAAGTACCTGTGTTGTAAAATCCATCAAGTAATTGATTGTCTGTTTTAGGAAAAAGGGAGAACAAGATACAAAGGCTTCAGATTATGAATAATCTGTTAAACACTTCACGTTTTTAAAAAGCACTGCAGCCCTGTGAAAGCCCACAAGAACCTGAAATTGAAATAGTTAGATTCCAGTTCTGTCCACACTGGCTTTATCTCTAGTTGACCTAAATACTGTTTTTAAAAAAAGGGGAGGAGGGAATAGCATAAGTCATAGGAAAAAAAACTGTATTTTTAATTTCTTAATACTATTTTTATAACATTGTCAGAAATAAAACAAACAAGCAATCTTTTAAGCCTGATATCCCTTTACCCCATATTCAAAAGGAGGAGATCCCCTGCTGGCACTCAAAGCTTTATAAGCCCCTCAGATCTCCAACTATTTAATACTGTACCAGTTAAATCATCCCAAGTGAGACAGACACACCTCATACTTGGGAATGTAAGTGGTTGAGTGTCACTAATTCAGTTTTTTGCTAGCGTGTTAGCTCAAAATACGTATACCTCTTTCCCCCTAATTTAATTAGCCCAAGTGTTGCACAGTAAATACTGAGGCTCATTTTGGATGAGTGTTCAGTTTCCAAATAGCTCTCCACAGGAAGCATTTCTGGTGCAGAAGCCAGACCCAAGACTTGTTACTAAGGGAAGTGAAAGACACCGACTTCCTACAGACAATCTGCTCTGGATCTTTCCCACATTGAATGGTACCATAGAAGGGGGAAAAACTCTTAATTTAACAGGGGTGGAGTATAGCTAAAATATGATGTTCTGTTGATCCTTTCTTTTAATAGCATGGAGGACATACTTTTAAGCCACTAGCTGAAATTTATGAGCAACATGTCACAAAAGTGAATGAGGAGGTAGCAAAACTTCGGAGGAGACTCATGGAGTTGATCAGTCTAGTGCAAGAAGTGGTAAGAAAATGTTCCAAGAAAATGTTTCCACCCTCTTATAACTGTATAATGTATTGATATATTCAGGTTATCTGTAGCATAAGAGAAGTAGGAGGTGGTATAGTTAAAGCAGTACAGTTCCCATAGCATGAGTGCAGTCATATGAGTATAAGGGTGCCTTGGAATGAGCTATACTGGTATATGGCGCCTTTTATACCAATATAACTCAGCCCATGCTAAAGATTGTACCAGTAAAAAGGCGCACCCACACACCTGTAACTGGTATAGTGTTACATGTACAAAAAGTACCAGGCCTTAGTGGTGTAAGCTGAAGATCTGAAATTCTATTGGGGTGATTCAACCCCTCAGTTCTGGGGGAGATTTTACGGATCTCTGTGCAGTCTAGTGTGCAAACCTTTTGAATAAGATATAAAAGAAAGTAAAATAGGGCTCCGTTTGCTCCGCATGGACATATACTATCTCCTTTGCACTACTGTAAGAGAAGGAGTTTGCCTGTTGCTCTTGGTCATAATTTTCTCTCTTTGTTGTGCTGTGTGCGTACTGGCTAGTTAGCAACCCTTCATCCCAGAGATGTCTGAAATTTTTTGGTGCTGTGGTATGTGTATATGGTCGAGATGATTCAAGGATGAAAGGCACTATGTAAAGTAAACTGTGTGCGCATTCATTTTCCCTTTTCTGCTTATGGATGCTATACCCAAGAAAGTACTTGTTCTATGTAGTACCCTGTGCAGAAAAAGAAACAAGTAGTTCCAAGAGAGTGTTTAATTTGTCATAGCAAGTCTCTTACATGTTTGTCTATGATGAGAAAAATACATTTTTTTTAGTTTAACCTTCAATCAACCACCAGAGGGCAACTGCATTCTCTGCTGTTTCACTTCCAGTTATGCTGTGCATCTGTAGCTTTTACAAAGTTTCAAAAATGGCTTACTATATACCTTAAGAACTCAGTTTTGGATGTGTACAATATTCTTCGTTTTGATAGTCAGTTAATTTTTCTAGGCTATCCAAAGAGAGAAAACACTTTTGGCATGTCTTTAATTAGGAATTCTAAATGTATTTCACTAATTGCATAGTAGCAAAACTAAGGGGGAAGAGAATTATAGGCAAAAGTGAAATCCTCTTCTGACCTTTAAGTTGCTGATAAGTTTACATAGAGGCCTGTTTTCCCAAACAGTTAAAACATAAACTATTTTTGTTCTACATAAAATATATTTTCCCCCTCCTCTGTATTTCCAAATCCTTGTCAAGGGAAAAGCATTCCATTGAAATGGACAGGGTATGATGAGAGGCAGAGATATGGACAAAAACAGATTATTCCTTTTTGTACGTTACCTCTGAACTGTCCTTTAGGAGAGGAATGTAGAGGCAGTGCGCAGCGCAAAGGATGAACGAGTTCGGGAAATTAGGAATGCAGTGGAGATGATGATTGCCCGATTAGACACTCAATTGAAGAACAAGCTTATAACACTAATGGGTAGGTATTCATCTTATCTGATGTAAGTGGAAGTAGCAGACTAAAGTTAAATCTTCTGGCAAGTTTTTTTTTCTAGAAACATAAAACTGCATACAGCAGTTTCCTGGCTTCAAGTTGAAGACAGAAGACTTCTAAATATAGCAGTGTTGTTAGTTAATTGCGTGGTTACTATGATGTAATGCATTTTGTTAGATGTAACTATGTTTTGATTTCATGAAGCTACTGTATGGTAACTCAGATTACATGTACCACTTCGCTACAATTAATGATTGTACAACACTTCGAAGATGTAAAGTGCCAAGTACTATTTCCTGATTGCTGTAATTTGTCACCTCTGATATCTACTATCCAAACCTAACTTTTAAAAATATTATTTCTGTATGGAATATTTCTGCTGAGTAGCATTTCAGATTGGTAAATAAATAAATAAATATTGTCTAGTAGTGAGAGCAGGGTATCAGGGAGGAATCGGAACTTCTAGGTTTTGTTCCTGACTCTCACTGACTTTGGTCCAGCCATTTAACCTCTCCCTCTATTTAGCCTTTTTACAAATGGGAAGTAGGTAGCGTATACCCAGGGGAACTGATGCTTGTATAACACTTATTAAAAAAACATGAGATACGTGTATATAAGACTCCACTTATGTGCAAAGCAATTTACAGTGCAGTCTTTGGGTTTCCCTCTGTAAATAATGTCGTTGGGTTTTTTTTAAATAAAACTGTATTTTAAATGAAATATTTTGTCCCAGATTGGAAACATCTCTACACTTGACTCTTAGGTTCATTCTTGGAGACAGCATGGTTCAATGGCTAGAACATTGGACTGGAAATCAGGAGACCTGGATTATATTCCCTACTCTGCCACTGACTGTGTGTGACTTTTTGCAAATCACTTTGCCTCAGCTTCTCCGTTCATACTTGCATTCCATTGTTAACCGCTGTGTAAGAGCTAAATATTATAATTATCCTAAATTGGAATATCAGTCTCTTTGGAAACAGGGGAGATGAGAACACTTTTTTTTTTTTTTTTAAGGATTTAGTCATGCAATATACAAAACTAAATCTGTAGACTGGAAACTCATGGAGATAAGGACTGTTTCTAAGCCCCACAATAATACAAACCATAAATCATAATAAACTATGCTGAAAACTTACTCTTGACATTTGAAATTTTGTTCAGAGGAAAATGTAAAATCAGAACTTTATATACTGGAAAAGGATATAGAACGTATTAAATACATCTTTTCAAAGCTACCATATTTTTTTATATTGCATAGAGACTAAATCATGATAACAAGTGTAATACCCTATCTAGATTTTTAACAGAATCACTTAGTTTTTAGCAAAAAAATCCTCTTAAATTCTTCTAATTAAACTATTTCTAAGTTAAAATCTGCAGTGAGTGCACTTAACCATATCATACTGAATACTGCAATCAACTGCAAAATTTGTTTGTAGTTCAGTGTTTGAAGGTCAGTCATTAAACTATTTACGAATTCCCTCTTTATTTGGTTAACACAGAATAACACTTTGCACTTATATAGCACCTTTTCTTCAGTGACCTCCGATTCCTTTACAAGAATTAATGTGTGATTTGAGAAAAAGCAAATCCAGTGATAGACTCAGAATAAGAGTTGATTTTTCTTTCTTCTTTGTCTTGTCACAGCCTTAATGGTAGTTGTAATACAGAAACACTATATTTAAACATCAATGTTTAATTATTTTTTCCTTAAAAGGTTTAAGGCCTACAAAAGTCATTTTTAAATTAGATTTCAGATGTTATAAAAGGAGGTTTGGTCAGATCAGAGAGAGTTCAATGAAATCCAAATCTGCTCTTCTCTCAAAAGCCTCTGTCATTTCTGGGACACCAAGAATGCTTCATTAATGTCTTAAACCTCAAGTGAATCATTCACTGCAGCTCTAATTAAAACAACAGGCTTCCTTTAAAATGTGTTCTCCATCAACCTTGATATATTTAGAAATCCTTTACCTTAGATTTAGAGCAATCTCCAGAAGGGAGGTTCACTTCTTTTAAAAAAAAAAAACAAAAAAAACCACCATCACCACAAAACACCATCACTAAATCTCATTTCTTTTAAACAGGTCAAAAGACATCACTCACCCAAGAAACTGAACTTCTGGAGTCCTTGCTACAGGAAGTAGAACACCAGGTGATTTAAAACAAAAAACAAAAAACCACCACCACCCCATAGTTAAAATGTTGGAAGCTACACAAAGACACTTTATGAACTTGCCTCTTTTGTTACTCTGAATTATGCATTAATGAGTAAGGTAGAATTAGGTTTGAATTGGGCTTAGATAGGTCACCCAAAATTCCTTAAAAAAACAAACAAACTGTGGCTTCTATCTCTAAATCAGGAACAACCTTGTTCTATTTAATCTCTTTTGTCATTTGAATAGCTAGTACAGAAGTAATTAGCAGTTATGAAACAACATTTATTATTTATTCATTTATTTAGCATAGCTTAGTGCTTGGAGCACAAGACTGATTTTTGTCACTTTCACTGCTGCCCACAGGTTATGAATAGCAATAATTAAAACAAAAAAAAAAAAGCAAAACTGGCCAGTTTTCACTCTGCACTTCTGGAAAGTTATGAGATGCAGCAAAGGTTCTGGAGCTCTCAGATGGCAGCTGTGGGAAGATGGCACAGCATTGGGTTTTTTTTCCACTCAGTTCACTTTTAGAAGGTTGTTTTTTGTTTGTTTTTTTTCCTCACAGTCAGAGGGTTAGAAATTTTTTGTAAGCGAAAGCTTAAATTCTGCAGAAGTTGATGTTAATCCTGGAAGAGTTCCTGCTTATCCTGAGCTAGTGTGTTCCCAAATGGATTTTTCAAGCCTTTTGTGTAATAATTCTCTCATGACACTGCTTGATGCCTTAAATTGCCAAAAAAATCTTCAAAGCTCCTGAAAAAGAAATCTTTTCTTTGCATGCACTTAACCTTCTGTCCTGTATTCTTTTTTTCTGTGTTCCAGTGAATGTTGTTAACTCAAATTCACCACCTGTTCTGGAAATGCCATTCTCCCCTTGCACTTGAGGCAACTTTTTTCAGAACCATATTTTCATGTCTGAGGCACCAGCTAGTGTTCTTCAGCAAATCCTGTTACACGTTGTATGTGGGCCTATTTTTTTAAATTTTCTTTGTTTCCACTACGTTCCAAAACCCTTTTTTGCTATAGAGTGACCTCTCTAGATGAGGACTTTTTTTAACCTTTTTCACCCTTTTAATGTGGTAAGGATTTCAGTCCATGTGCATCTTTGCAAAGCAGTTTTGTATTGTATAGACCTTATTAAAATACAGTGAACTGGAACCATAAGAACATGTCCCCAAAAAAGGTAGGTAACTTAAGTTCTATTTCAAATATTTACTGTAGCCATGATTCTTAATCAGTAGACAGATGTCTCTGTATCTCCCAAATTTCTGAGGTTTACTAGTACTCTTAAAAAAGTTACATTACATGTGTACCAGTTGTCAAGAGGCTTTAAATTTCATATTCTTTTTATTGATGTAATATCAAAAATGCATATCCTTATTCTTGTCTGAGCATGGTAGAAAGTTTTACATTTACAGCTCAGGCCCACTGTTCCTGCCTTTCAATTATACAGAAGAAATAGAGTATATTTAGTTATTTTTGCAACTATGTAGCTATTTAAAATGTCTGTTTCCAGCTGTTCAAAGGACACAAGACTAGATTATTTCCCCTCTATCTTTGTTCAGAAGTGGTTATTACTTGAGGCATCTAGTGTTGAAAAGGTACACTTTATTACACGCTTAAAACATTTTGGCTTTGTGTGCTGAATTGAAGGAAGGGAGGTTACATTTATATTCCTGGTTATTCTTTTGTGAGATAATGTACTTTTTGATTAGTTGATTTGAATATTGGCTTAAACCTCATTTGAATGAAAAATGAATATAAAACTATGTTTAACAGTGAAAGTGCCACAGAATAACTAAGGAAGGAAAGTGTAAAACACCCTCCTTAATGTACTGGGTTATATAATAGATTAAACTTAATCATGTCAAAGCCTAGTTAAGTTTCACCTATACACTGCATAATAACAGAGGTCACAGCTGGTATAGTACTTTGCCGGGGCAGTGACAAGATAAAACAAACATACCTGTATCTAGTACAAATACTTATGACCTTCAGACTGAAAAGTAACCTGAGTACACAGTAGCTGCTAATGAAATTTTTAAAACACTTTAAAATTGTTTAAATACTACAGCACTATAATTCTCACATTAGGATTCAAGAGCCCTCAAAATCATGTGAGTAGAGAGAACACTGGCTTAATTTTATTTAATTTCTTATAAAAACAATTATGGGAACAATATGGCAATTTGTTGCCACCACCACCACTTTTTTTTTTTTTACAACCTTGAAAAAAGACAAATTCCAAGGAAGCTCTAACAAACGTAACTCTCTGTCAATATGGAAAGCACTATTGTAATCTTTCTCTGTGAACCCGCAGTAGATGTTACCTCTTGTATTGACACACCTTCATTTAAAAAATTAAGCCAAAATCTGTGGGTTTTCTTTAACGGTATTGTAATTTATCTGCTTTCTTCTCCTCAGCTACGATCATGCAGTAAGAGTGAGTTGATATCTAAAAGCTCGGAGATTCTGATGATGTTTCAGCAGGTTCACCGGAAGCCTATGGCATCCTTTGTCACTACTCCTGTCCCTCCAGACTTCACAAGGTACAGCCTGGCATTTCCTTTATTTTGCAAGGTTTTGTTTGACCTTGAAAGCTTAAGCATTAAAGCAGTTTGGTTTAGTCTTAAACAAAAAAAACCCACAACAAAAAAATTAACTTTACAAACATCTGAATGGTTTTGAGCATTGTGGAATGGTTAGTGTGGAGAAAACTTCTCCTAATGTATAAAATATTCAAAAACTGCACTGTAAGAGCAAATTCTGCCCCTGCTTTGGAGGGATGGGAAATTAGGAAGCAACTGGAGGATTTGCTGCTGGAGAGATCCCCAAATCCATCCTAAAAGCTGCTTTAACCATTAGGGCTACTGCAGTGGTAGCCTGTGGGGGGAAAGATTTCTCTCCAGTATCTGTCTTGGCTTCTCAGACTGAATGCTGATAATCTTAATAATCAATCACTTACCCAATTCCCCTCACCTTTTTCAGAGCCTTGTTTTTATTCTCCATGAGAACTTCACTTGTAATTGATGTTACATCCTAGCATTAGAAGTGGGATCCAGTAGAGTAAAGGAATAGGTTTTAAATCATTTGTATACTGATGACCCTTCTTACCCTTGCTATTGGGGGCAATCAGCCTATAATTGTAGGGCTCTCTTATTAGCAAGTGCTCAAGTGGTACAATAAACGTAGAAGGGGTCTCATGAGATGCCTGTACAAGTCACCTTTAGTATATAATAAAGCCCAAATGATTTGCTGACAAAACTTGCTTTCAGAAAGGAGCCATCTGTGCAGGTTTATGCAGAAATCTGTGCACTTGTTAGGATGGGTGGCTGCAGCATTTTACATTTTAAACTAACATGCAGGGTTTCTATAACATTTGGAGAGAATGTTATTTTAAAATTACTCAAATCTTTCTAACCATATCAATCAAACATCAGTTTGGCAAGCTTTTAAAATATAGCCTGGAAAAGAATACCCTGAAGTGTGTTCACTGTGAAATGACTCTCTGTAATAAATTTAAGTACATTTTTAAAAGTAAATATTTATTTTAAAGGAGGTGGTAGCAACTGATGGTCTCTCTTGCTACAGGCCTGCGCTGAAACATGATATATTTCGGATGTTTTGTTTCTCCAGCCACAAAGCAGTTCCTTCTCTTTAAATACAAAAATCTGTAGTTTTAGATTTCCCTTGGTTAAGTAATTGTCATCCCTTGCTGTGACAAGGCAAATCATGTTAGGTTTTCTAAAGTTAATAATTGATCATTTTCGGACATTCTTGTCCTCCTCCCCTCTGACCACAGTTGAGTTGTTCCTGCATCATTTTGCTTAGGGGTCAAGAGGAATATGTATGCTTGCAGTGCTACTGGGAGAGGGTGGGGAGCAGAAAAATAGATAGTTCTGACACTGGAAGCCCACAGACCTACTGTGTGCTCTAAAAATACCCTCCAAAAGCAATCTTGCTTTTTCTAACATTTGAATTCTTGTTTATATGTAACTTATGCAAAGCCTTTGTGGTTCCCATAATATAGCTGATTTCATTGGTGTTTTCTAAAAGTTTATTACCACTGTATAAATTGTATTTCTTCCTTGCCAGGTGAGAGGTCATATAATTCAGCAGGACCCTAGAGTAGACTGGAATGTACAAATCTGTTTTCATTTCCAAGCTGAAGGAAATGCAAACCACATACAATTTAACAAGAGAAAAATAAATTGAGTCTTAAAATTTGTCAGTGTTAATAATCCCAGATGTTATTAATGGCACATGGATATAATACATGAATTTATTCTGATACTCATTTTAAATAAAAACCTTTTCACACCCTTCAAAATCAGTTGCTGCTGCTAAAGATATACTTAAAATTGTAATATCTACCCAGGACATATGTCATATAGTAGAATGTTAACATGCTTGGGAAAGCTACTACTGTCTTCAGAAGTTGCAATTAAAAAAAAAAAATTACAGTGGTACTTATGTTCTGTTTTCTAGAGACATGACCACTGTTGTGGTGTTATGACTATAGCCTAATAACCTTCATGTCCTTTTAAAGATCTTGAGTGGGATTTTCAAAAGTGCTTAAGTGATTAGGAGTGCAAGTCCTATTGACTCCTGATGGGCCTTGTGCTTGCTTCTAAGTTACTTAAACACTTGTGAAAATCCCACCCTCTGATTTTAATGCTACTTTCTTCAACTCTACTAATATGTTTTCTCCCCAGTGAATTAGTACCAGCCTATGACTCAACCACCTTTGTCTTGGAAAACTTCAGGTAGGAATGTGTCCTAAGAAATTACCATGAATGTCAAGGAGTATGTTTCTCATTTGTTCTTTTATTAGGTTTTAAACCATTGAATAGACCTATTGAAAACCACAAGATACCTGTGAGGAACTGAATCACATCTCTTGACTTTTGTCTCCAGTAGTGAACAGAAAAAGTAGCTACCAATTCAATAAACTCACTGCTAAAAAAAAAATTCCATGCTGAAGGAAAATTATTTCTCTCTAATCACCCCACGAGTTTAAAAAAATCTGCAAGGAACATTTACATGATCTCTACACTTAAAAGTCTGCTCAGCTTGCAAGTTTTGCATCTTTCTAGATCATCTGTTGATTTTTTTTTTGTAATGCAACCATTAAATAATTAATTTAGAATACTTTGATTAAATTAGAAGTAATATTTGAGGCTAGAACTTTATAGTCCAATTTCCTGTGAATTCTGACTTATTTTAGTGAAGATTGGAAGTAGATTGAAAGAAGTTGCAAACACCCTTATACTTCTCACTCTCCTCTGGCTTTTCCCCCTCACAATAAAAGCATGCTTTAATCTCTCCCATTGTAAAATCCCATCCTTTACTCCACTTGCCTCTCCAACTACCACCCCTTTTATCTCTAAGATCACTGTATGCTCTGTTTACAATTGCTGTCTGCAGTTTCTCTTCTCAGACCAGTTTATTCCCATCTACCGTCATCTCTCATTCACTATCGAGGTTGACTCCTGCCTCTGTATTGCCCCACGAAGCCAGCCTCCATCGCTCAACTTGTTTCCATTTTCAAACAAGCCTGTTTGTGCTGTCTCCCATCCTGCTCCTCATGCTTGGGAGAAGCTGCCCATAAGCATCTGTAAAACAAATGCATTATCCTCCTCCAAAACTCATTTTCTATGATGCCTACAAGAAATTTGACAATGGCTAGATTATTGGTGTGCTGAGATCACTGCCGATCATGCTGACCAGTGTTGTCTCATTGTTTCCTTGTTCTTCCCTGTCTGTATCCACCTGTTGTCTCTTGTCTTATACTTAGATTATAAACTCTTTGTGTCAGGGACCATTTTTTGCTTTGTGTTGCTACAGTGCCTAGCACAGTGGGGTCCTAATCTTTGACTAGGGTTCCTAGGTGCTATGGTAACACAAATAATTAACCATTGAGGACAAAGAAATAATACAAAGGTATCTAGACAGGTTGGAAACATGGCTAGTAGAAGATTTAAGGACAATTGCTGCTAATACATTTGTGGGGAAGTGGGGTAGGAGGGCAAACTTAAAACAAACGTTCATTGGGGAAAATGTCGGGGAGAAAGCTGGGAAGCAATAATGGCTGAAAGATATAAGGATCATAGTGGATCTGTACCATAGGAAGGAAAAATAATCATGCACTTTTATCCTGCACATGCAAAGGCATCACATCATGGATCAGAGAGAGAAATTCCTCTCTCTATGGCTCCTGTGACTGCACCAGGGTTATTGTTATGAGCATTGCATCACCAGAAAAGCATTGCCTAATGAGTTCAGATAAGAGCACCAAAATGAAGGGGTGGATGCGAATGTGTGGAGGAGATGATTTCTTAAAAGGAAAGATTGAGTTAACTATATGTAGCCTGGTTAGTAGATATCTGAGTAGTGGGGAAAGAACAAAAGTCTACATCTCTGCTGCTTATGCTCTTTATATATTTGGAGTGGAATTATTAGTGTAGTATGATATAACACTAAGTAATGGGATAGTATGTAGAGGAAATTGGGATAAGTATCAGAAGAACTTTGCTAATAATGAGATATATTAGGCAGTGGAATAGCCCCAAGGGATGTTGTGGCAGTCTGACTGCTTGGAAATTTTAAAACTTTTTTTTTTTTTTTTAAAGGATAATAGGGAACAATAGGCCCCATGGAAATAGATTAGATGAAGCAATGGTTCCTTTCCATCTCTAACTGCTGTGATAGCTTCAAAACATGCTACTGAATTTTATGTGGTGCAACAAAATCGATAGTTCTAACATGTAAATGGAATGCTATTTATTCTCTGTCGCCTCCCCACATAGGGGTTTGCTCCATCTCACTGTTGAATATTCATCCCTTCTTTCAACAGCACTTTGCGCCAGCGGGCAGATCCTGTGTACAGTCCACCTCTTCAAGTGTCAGGGCTTTGCTGGCGACTAAAGGTTTATCCAGTGAGTTTGTATACTCTTAAAAATTTTTCCTAACAAAAATTTATCCACGGGTATAAATACACTAGGTAGCGAGCTAGCTTAGACCCCAGTCGTGCAAACTCTTAAGCACATACGTATCGCTGCTCATGTAGACAGGTAACCTTACTTCAGTCATTTCCTAGCTTTTGAGTATTTGACTTCGCAGCTTTAATATTCTTTTAAAGTAGTTTTGTGTGTGCATGTGTGATTTCCTAGTTTAAAAAAAAAATGAAACAAATTTCATCAAGTGATGTCATATAGACACCATATGACTTATCAGCAGACCTCTGTCACTGGAGCTAATGGAGTGATTGATGATAATAGTCAGTTGCCATCCCCTGTGGAAGGCAGTGTGGCCTAGCACTAGACTGGGACTTAGCAGAATCCAGATTTCCTACCAGCTCTGCCGCTGGCCTGCTGGGTGACTTTGAGAAGTGACTTCTCTTCTCTGTGTCTCAGTCTCCCCATCTGTAAAATGGGGATAATGATATTGACCTCCTTTTGTAAAACAATTTGAGACCTACTGATGAAAAATACTGTATAAGAACTAGATACTGTTATGTGAACTACACTAGAGGGGGATGACACACACTTTCCCATTGGATTTCACAGATACTTGCTGACAGAAGAGGAATGGGGAAAATCAGGAAGCTTAGGTTCCATTCCAGGCTCCTAAGAGGAGTGTACTCTCGTGGGCAAAGACTTCTGCCAGTCTTCCCCAAGCTTGTCCCCTCTAACCTTTCCCTGTACCAGTCCTGGCTCTGTCTCATTCTTTTTGCGTACCCAGTCCACTGTCTGCTACTTGGGCTTCTCATCTAAGTCCCAGTCTTCTTGCCTAACCAGTCCCAGTTGCCCCCTCTCACTTCTTCATCCAGTCTGTCTCTTCCCAGTGTCTTCATTCTCCCTACTTGGACTCCTTTTCCAATCTGTCTTCCATCCACAGCTCCTTCCCTTTCTCTCTTTGCCCAGCGAGTCCTAGGTCTCCTTCTGTACCCCGACTTCTTGTCAGAGCGTCTCTCCAGCTCTTTCACAGTTTCCTTGCCCAGCTCATTCCGGTTTTCCCCCCCAACTGTTCGTTTTTTCTCTTCCCTCCTCATCCCTCCAGTCTCACCAGGCTCCTTGTCCCAGTCTACTGCTTTCCCTGCCCCTCAGTTAATCTCTTGTCTCCTCTGCATTCAAGTCAGGTGCCTTCTGCCTCCGCTCTACCTTGGTCCAGCAGGGGGGTCATTTAGAGGAGAGGAGACGGGCTCCCTCCTCTCACTTAAAGCCTAGCTCCTCCCTGGCTCAAAGTATCCACGATCAGCAATTGTAGGGGAAGTTGCTCTGTGAGGATGGCACATGTGCAGTCTGAGCACTCGGAGCACTGAGAGGCTCAAGCATGCTTAGTAAAGAAGTTTCTACTGAATGTGTGCAAACTAGTTTTTCAAAGGCGCAGATTTTCATGGGGTGGGAAAAGGCGTATCCCTGACACACAAGCCATGCCTGCCAAATTTCAAGTTTCTGGTCCACAGCATGGGTCACTAGAGCTGTTCAAAGAAAAGGTCTCCACAATTTAATGTGGTCAAAGCGTGTTTTTTCCTTAACCTAATTCTCAGAAATGACTGAAATTTTCTAGTAAAATTCAGCCTGAGGCAAGTGGAAAACTTCAGCCAAATTGTTAAAGTTGGCAACAGAAAACAGGGTTTTACAGTGAGAAGTATTGTGCAGCCTTAATAGGCGTTGCTACCTGTTGCACCTATAATATATATGTGCTTAATTGTTTGCAGGATTGGGGCCTAAACTAGTTTACTACTTGTTGTATTTATATACATAGCTGGGTCTGTGTGTGCACCCATCCATTACCTGAAACCGTTTTGGGAAGTTGGGAGGAGGAGAGGGTTTTGTTTTCTGAGAGGAATTTCTCTTGTACAGAGTCTGATATCCATCACTGAAATAGAAGAAATATCCAATGTGAATGACGTTTCTTACGAAATCTCATTGAAGCGCAGCATTGAGACCACCGAGACATTGGCTCTGCATGAATGTTGGAACATGAACCACTAAGTTTTGCCTTTCCCCAATCCTCCAGTTTGGTCAATGCTTTGAGGCAGCTCTGGGTACTATTTAAACTGTGCATGAAGTAAAAAATCTCTTATAGTTTACTGTTTTGAATACAGCAACAGCTATATCTTAAAGTCAGGGTCAACCCTGTACATGACATTGTCAAAAGGTATAAAAATGCTATTTTTAAACAATGGTATGTTATGACACAATGTCAAAACCCAGGGAATTCAAGATAAGATTAACACTTCATCTTTGGCTTACACCATTGAGGGAGAAGGCTTTGCCATACTACTGATTTTTGTTGTAATCTCAGTACTACTTAACATAACTCTTTAATGAATCTTAGTTAGTTTTCAATATACAGATTAGAAAACACAACTTCATTTTGCTTCAGTCCCCAAAATAAAAGGGTTTTGGAATTCTGCTCTCTAGTATTTCAGATAACTGGATATTTAATATAAAAAGTCCTCATTAAATTTTGTGAGAGAGGAAAAAGGGTTGTAATACTCTCAAGCTTAAAAATCTACCAATCATTTTTATTGCCCTCCTTATTACACACATTTAATATGAAAAATCAGTTCTACAGTATGTAGAAGCACTTGCCAAACTATTTCTGTTTACACTTGTTTGAACTACTGAAATGCAAGAATAGGAATTGTAACTTTCAAGTTTTCTGTTGTGAGATACAGCCTAGCACCCAGATACTACAGTCATATGCACACTTTCTAAATGTGTGTTGATTTCTACCTCAATTCAGGCAATGGTGGCTGGTTTTAGTCATGGCATGGTTTAAGTCCATTTCATATGTTACTGTTCTGACTGAGGCTGTAGGAAATTGTGTATTGGAATTATGAATTTATTTTCTACAATAACAGATGCTTTTAATAATTTTACCTCCTTATTTCTTTTTAAGGATGGAAATGGAGTTGTGCGTGGTTACTACTTGTCTGTGTTTCTAGAGCTCTCAGCTGGATTGCCAGAAACATCCAAGTAAGGAAATGTCTGTTTACACTTCTTTTATGCCTCTCACCCAAGGAGTTTAAAGAGCTTTACAAAAGTGTATTCAGCCTCATGACTCTGCTAGGACCTGATCCAAAGCTCACTGAAGCAGATGAAGATTCCTATTGACTTCACCGGGCTTTGGATCAGGCCCCTCGTCCCATTTTACAAGTAGATAAGATGAGGCACAGAGGTTAAGTGGGTCTGCAGAAAGTGACAAACAAGTCAGCAACAGAGCTGTCAGTAGAACCCAGGTCTCAACTTCCAGTCCTGTGCTTGGTTAGCTAGAGCACCCTGACTCTAAGGCAAAGAGTTCAGTTGAGAGAAATGCTATAAAATGACCATTGTACAGTACTTTAGCCCTCAGATAAATCAAAATTATGTTATAACTACCAATATTATAACCTTGCCCCTTACAGTCCACAGTTGCTCCAAAAAATGTTATTTATGTGCCTGGCTCCAAAATATGTCTAAATTTCTCAAGACTCTCTTTAGTGTAACAGGACACTTTCTGCAGCATTTAACTTCTCAGAATATTTTCTGGTTCTGTTTAAAACTTAGAATGTAACTGCTGACTGGAGGTATAGAGGCAGTTTTAGCTGCTGGAGGAGCAGGAACTTGTGGGACTGAATCTCTGCTTAAAATTCCTTTGCCTATGAAAGACTGACTTGCCAGGCTTAGAAAGCACAATTTGATAGCTGAGTGACATACTCTGATTGAGGAGAGGAAAGAATTGAAACTAAGTAATGTGCTGGGCCTGCTCTGGATGGATATGTTAATAGTGATTTTGGAAGGGATTTCAGACCGACAACTGAGTGGAGAGCCTTTCAGGTGAGGAAGAGGAGTTCAAGCATAATTTTGGGTTTGAGGTCCTCGAGTCCTAAGGAGAGGATTCTAGGCCTAATTGGAGAGAGGCTTTTCATAAAATGGGGGAGCATTCATACTGGCACGTGAGACTGAAACAAGAGATACTGGCCGATGTTAGCAGACTTTAATAAGCAAAACGTAATGCAAGCTTTTAAAAATTCCTTGTCTTCCACACATCCAGAACAATAAGATGCATTATGGGATGGGGCTTGCCTCTTCACATTAAGACCACTTTATAACACTTAGTACTAGAGCAGGGGCGGGCAAACTTTTTGGCCTGAGGGCCGCATTGGGTTTCGGAAATTGTATGGAGGGCCAGTTAGGGGAAGGGGTCGTGGGCCACCCCCAGGACTCCTGCCCCATCCAACCCGCCCCCTGTTCCCTGACTGCCCCTCCGGGACCCCTGTCCCATCCACCCCCTACCCCGCTCCCTGTCCCCTGACCGCTCCCGGAACCCCCACCCCTGACTGCCCCCCACCACCCCCATCCAACCACCCCTTCTCCCTGTCCCCTCACTGCCCCCAGAGCCCCTGACTGCCCTCCACTGCCCCATCCAACCCCTCCTCTCATTCCTGACTGCCCCCTCCCTGGGACCCCTGCCCCCATTCAACCCCCCTGTTCCCCACCCTCTGACCGCCCCGACCCCTATCCATACCCCCACCCCCTGACCACCCCTCTGAACTTCCCTGCCTTCTATCCAACCCCCACCTGATCCCTGCCCCCTTATCGTGCTGCCTAGAGCACCGGTAGCTGGCGGCACTACAGCCACTCACCGTGCAGCACAGAGCACTGGGTCAGGCCAGGCTCTTCAGCTGCGCTGCCCTGCCCCAGGAGCTCGCAGCCCCGCCACCCAGAGCATTGCGGCGGGGCAAGCTGAGGCTGCAGGGGAGGGGGAACAGCAGGGGAGAGACCGGGGGCTACCCTCCCAGGCCAGGAGCTCAGGGGCCGGGCAGGAGGGTCCCGCGGGCCGTAGTTTGCCCACCTCTGTACTAGAGGCACCCCGCCATCTGCAGTGAAAGTTTAAAGGACACAGTAAATTTGAAAATCCTATTTCAAGCTTGAAGCTACTTATAATTGAAAGACGTTAAGGAGAGAAAAAAAATATTTTCCTCTTTTCAGTTTGATTATGCATTTGACAGCATTTTCTGTAGTCGGTTTGACTGTTTCCTCTGTGTACATGCGGATAGGAGAATTCTCTTCCGTTCCTGAAAATGATTGTAAAACCTTAAAAATTTACATAGAGATTTAAGAGCTGGTAGGGAATCCTGGAGCTATTTTATTTATTTATTTATTTTTTAAATTGATTAGATTTCAAATTGTGTCCCTTCTTAATTCACTTGTTCAATTCTATTTGAGAAGTCTGTCTTCATCTTACAGCCCAGCTACTGTCAATCATATTGCACTTATTTCTCACGTAGAATAGATTGGCAGATGCACAGAGCTTTGACTTCAGATTTTATCAACCCTGACACAGTTAGCCCTTGGCACCAGCAGCCTAGAGCGACTGCTGTGAAGCTGTAATGCAGAATGCATTAGAGCTTAGCATTGAGAGAAATCCTGATCTGTGGCATTAAACTGCTGTAGTTTATAAATACACAGTAGTCCTTCAGCCTGTCTTAAAAAGTAGCATTTGTTGCCTGTAATCTCAGCCTTATACCTTTACCTCTTAAAATGTGTATATTACCCAAAAAAGCCATCAACATGCTGTTCACTTTCCACTCTAGATTCTTTTCTTGCTGAATCACCTTTTTAATTGGAAATCCTATTTCTTTTTAAAATATGATGCTTGTAGTAACTTAACTTGACCTGAAACAAACCTACTGTATGCATTTTTCTTATACTGAAATCTGGTGATGTTTGTTACTGTTCCAACTAATTTCATTTTGTCCATGTTTAGGTATGAGTACCGTGTGGAGATGGTTCACCAGTCCACCAATGATCCTGCTAAAAATATAATTCGAGAGTTTGCCTCTGACTTTGAAGTTGGAGAATGCTGGGGTTATAACAGATTCTTTCGATTGGACTTGCTTGCCAATGAAGGGTATTTGAACAGACAAAATGACACTGTAATTCTTAGGTAAGAGAGATCATTAGTTGTATCTACAAACCTGTTTTCTGTGGCATTTTTTTATAAAAGTGCTATAGTTATTAGCAAAGTAGGAAATAATTAAAATTAGATTAATTTAAAAAACATGGCATGCTCTGTCATAAAAGGAAAGGATTTTTTGTTCTCATGAGCTTTAAAGGAGTATGTGTTTAGGAGAGGAGGTGGGAAAGATGTGCATAGATGAAGCAGTCATCTGCAAAAACTACACTTGACACTAATGTCTGTATTGGGCATGCATAGATAGAGAATTAAAAAATATTTCAGGAAAATTCTGCATTGAAGCTAACTTTGTTAGTGGAAATTTCAGCATTATGGCTAAATATAGCTATCCTGCACTTCTACTTCAAGTTGGGTTTTTAAAATATGACTTGTGGTTTGTCTATTCTGGTACTTCAGAATTCTGTATTATAGAATATCTGGAAAAGTGTACAGGAATTAATTTCCCATCAGGCTTAAGCTTAATATTATCACCTGGTTTTAAGCATTGAATTATTTTAGGTGGGACTTCTCAAGCATTTAAAAAATTTCCATTTTTGTGGCATTCTAAAGGTTCCAGGTGCGTTCACCTACCTTCTTCCAAAAGTGTCGGGACCAACACTGGTACATTACTCAGTTGGAAGCTGCTCAGACAAGCTACATCCAACAAATAAACAACCTCAAAGAGGTAAGTGTGAGGTTGGATGTGTATTTTAATGTAAATTCAAACATGGATTTAAATCTTTGATTATAGTGGCCACTGACCAGTAAGTTTGCTTCACTGTCAGGTTTATTTGGATACACATTGCTATTTTTAGAGTGCTGATGGTGCTGGATTTTGTTTCCAGTTAGTTTCAATGTCTTTCATGTTAATCTGTTTAAATCTGTGAAATGCTGTTGCTTCTTGTAATTTGTTCTTAACAAATTTTCTTTGGCGTATACTTACGTGTCTGTTTTTTAAAATATATTTAAGAGACTTGCAATTGAGCTTTCCCGTACCCAAAAATCACGAGGCATGTCACCTCCAGACACTCATCTTAGCCCCCAGAATGATGATGGTCCAGAAACAAGACCAAAGAAATCTGGACCGAATCCTGAAGTACTACTTGAGAGTGTCACCACTCCAGCATTAGCGAGAGATGCCAAGGATGAGGAGGAGGAGAAAATCCAGCATGAAGATTTTAATGTAGGAATTCTCTTCTGTTCCATTTTCAATTTTTATTTCATTTTATAATCCATTGTACTGTTACAGGAAAATTATAGAAGCATGTGTGTTGTGTTACTTGAACTATTCTCTACAAGTGCAGAATTAGTGGATAATGAGAAAGAATAGAGACTTTTAGGGAGCAGGAAAAAATTGTTTAAGGAGAGAAATTCCAAAGGCATGGTAAGCAAATCAGAGAATCTAGCTATCTAAAATGGTACTGTCAGGCAGGCATTTTATCTACTTATGTTGCACTTTCAGACCCTCCTCAGCTCCTGGGTGATATTACTGACGTCTGGTTCTGCTTTCTCTGTTTAGAATGTACTGTAGATAAAATATAAAACACCCAAATACTTGAGAATTTCTGTACAGCAGAAATTTTATCTTATGTTTTGTTGCTCCAGTATGAGCTCTCGGATGGTGATCTGGATGTAGACCTTGCTGGAGAAGATGAGGTAAACCACCTAGATGGCAGCAGCTCCTCTGCTAGTTCAACAGCTACTAGTAACACTGAAGAGAATGATATTGATGAAGAGACTATGTGAGTGACTGCAAAAACTTACCCAGAATTGTTATCCTCTTGGCCTAATGTCAGTTCCCATCAGAATGGAATCAACTTACTTTGTATATCACAATGTCTTTGATTGATGTGTGACAGCTCAGAGGCCAAAAGCTGGCCCGGAAATGACACATATAGTAATGTGGTAGAAATACAAGATGCCAGGTCTTCAAGCAATTTTTTACTGATTTATTTCCAGTGTGTTGGCTTATTCAGTTTAACATGTTGTCCTTGACCAGCAATGTCATGTAAGGCTCTTTTCAAGAGATTAGTTAGCTCTGATCCTACAATAATTTACCACTGTGATACCCTACACAAGTACAAGTGCTGTTTAGAAGTAGAGCACTTAGACTTTAGACTATTTAAATACTGAAAAGTTGAAGGACACTATCAGATCCACATATTTAACATACTATTAAAGATACATATTCTTGTAATGAATATGGAAGGCTTGCAGAATCAGGTTCTAAAATTCCACCTCTTGGAAACACGTCAGATTTTAAGACTTCTGGTTTCACAGTCAAGTGGTGATGCATTTTGACTTGTTAGTTCATGCAGTTTGGAAGCTACAAAACTGTAGTGAGACGTTTAGTTTTTCTGTTGTTGACAAACATCGCAATGCCTAATTGGAGCTGATGGTCTGATTTTTCTTCGCACCAAGGTCTGGAGAAAATGATGTGGAATATAATAGTAATATGGAGCTAGAAGAAGGAGATCTCCAGGATGATGCTGCTGCTGGTGGAGCATCAGGTACAGAAAGAAACATTCACAATCAAACTAACAGTAATTTGTCAGGTTTCCTCCCCTGTTCTTTTCAGTGCCACATCAGGCAATATTGAGCTGCATATTCTAGAGGCATTTTCTATTTTTGAAAATGCTGCATCATGTACTGTACATTAATTATTGCAGTAGAGTGCCAGCTTCCCACTGGTTAGAAAAAAAGGTGGAGGGGCCTTCTATTGAACATCCTTAAGAAAAAATGTCAGTTTGAAGTTTCTCTGGGAGCCTGGATTTTAAGATGTTTCCATTCCAGTAAAAAGTAAACCAGCAAATGTCTTTGCTTCTACTCTACTGCTGTCCCCATGGTTTCTGACCGTTTGACACATTCCTTTAGATTTTGCTACACTGTTATTAGCTAAGTTTTAATTAAATGAGGGGCGTGAAATGTATGAATCTTTAAATATGGAGCAGGAATTAAATTAAAATATAAATAATTAAATGGTACTCCATAAGATCACTTGCAGCATAAAGGTGACTGCAAGTCAAAATCTAACAACACATTTTTACCAGGATTTCTAAAATGACTGAATCTACATTTAAATGCACTCATGATGCCAGTGCCCACAGATCATACCACATACTGCAGCATAGGTCTGTTGGCAATCTTTAAGGAATGCTGATCTTCATATCCTTGCTCTCTTTTTTCCCTTTCAGTATAAACCTGTTGTGCCTTAGATCCAGTCTCTGTCATAACACAGGCAAATGTCTGCCTCTCTTCAAAACATTTCTTGTCAGGCATTTGAGAAGCCTGACTAATTTATTTAAGTATGGCATTAATCAGTTAAGAACAGGAGTGGAAATGGGGGTGTAATGTCTGCAGAATACAGTGTTATCTAAGGTTCTCTTCACATGTCATTTTAGTGTATTTGTAAATCTTGATGCAAAGAATGCGTGTAACCCATTCACTTTTAATTGCTTATAGTGCTTTTTCACTCTCAATACTGATAATGCTGGTTTTGGTCACCTGCTTTGGAAGGAAGCTTTATTGGGCTGTCTAATCTAATTTCCCAGATTGGACTCCAGACACAGTGGCTGGGTCTCAGATCTCTTATGGGATTGCTAAACATTATGTAATAAGAACATTTCATAGCTCAAAGTAAGGCTTAATTGAAGATCTCTCTAGATCAGATAAAGAAATTCCTCATTTTTATGTTAGTGGGTTTTTTTTCTAAATCTGCAAATCAGTAGGAACAGTTAATGTTCTCTGTATTTGATGAAGTCAAATTCTGTTGATTTTCCATTTTTGGGACTGTTAGTTTTTTATCAGTGTACTTTGTTTTTCTTCAGTGCTTTTAGAATTCGTACTTCCTTGTAACAAGATTGCTTTTCCTGAGGTTATTTGGAGTGCTTTTAAGATTTCCATCCTTACTATATCAAGGATTTTCAGCTGCTCTTTTGTGAAATAGTGAAACCTAACACATGCAGACAGACATGGTGTATATGTACTTTTCCTATGGTGCTCTCTCTTTCAGGTAGTAGCCATGGCTATGCCAATGCAAGTGGCAGATCTTCAAGGCGGGGAGGAAGTACTTTAGGCTCAGCAGCCAGCAGCAGTTTACTAGACATAGATCCCTTAATTTTAATCCATTTATTGGACCTAAAAGACAGGAATGGGATGGAAAATCTGTGGGGTCTACAGCCACGTCCTCCTGCCTCACTTCTGCAGAACAGAGGTAAATGTTGCATTTAAATACAACTCTTCCATGTATTCCCTTGACATAAAGTTAGATGCACATCAAATCTAAGTAATTCGTTAGAGATTTATTTAAGAACATAAGAATGACCATCCTGGCTAAGAAGAATGGTCCATCTAGCCCAGTATCATGTCTTCCGACAGTGGCCGATGCCAGGTGCTTCAGAGGGAATGAACAGGTAATCATCCCCTGTTGAACATTCCCAGCTTCTAGCAAATAGAGGCTTGGGACACTTTTGCATCCCTGTCCATCCTGACTAATAGCCATCAATGGACCTATCCTCCATGAATTTATCTAGTTCTTTTTTGAACCCTGTTATAATCTTGGCCTGTGGCAACATCCTGTGGCAAAGAGTTCCACACGTTGACTGTGTTGTGTGAAGAAATAATTCCTTTTGTTTGTTTTAAACCTGCTGCCTATTAATTTCATTTGGTGACCCTTCGTTCTTGTTTTATGAGAAGGAGTAAATAACACTTCCTTATTTACTTCCTCTACATCAGTCATGATTTTATAGACCGCTGTCATATCCCCACTTAGTTGTTTCTTTTCCAAGCTGAAAAGTCCCAGTCTTATTAATCTGTACCTTTCCCAATTCCAATATGTCTTTTTTGAGCTGGGGCAACCATATCTTCATGCAAGATTCAAGATGTGGGCGTACCATGGATTTATACTGAGGCAATATGATATTTTCTGTCTTCTTATCTATCCCTTTCCTAATGAGTCCCAACATTGTTAGCTTTTTTGACAGCCGCTGCTGACTGTGGATGTTTTCAGAGAACTATTCACAATGACTCAGAGTTTCCATTAGCTTTGTCTGCATTGCCCATCATGAAGAGGGACTGGGGAAAGGCTACTGGATTCTGTTGCTGTATTTTCATAATTTCATAGTAGTCACTGTGTGCACCAAACTACAAAGTACTCTTTGGCTTAATAGTTGCTTTCAGACTTAGAACTGCAGATGAGTATTGAGTCAAAAAAATGTGTGGGGGGGCAGGGACAGTGTCTGTCTCTATTTAAAGATAGGTGGGGGGATGCCTGAAGAGTAGTTCCAACTCCATGCACATCTTGTGTAGCTATCTTGGTATCTGTGAAGAGAGTAATACCTTATTGTTATCTAGTACTTTGCAATAGTAGATCAGTGCCAGATAAATAATGGATTTCCACCTGGAAGGGATTAAGGTGCAATAGACATAAACAGAACAAAACACAATATACACAGTGTAGGGAATGGCTATTTCATCTTCCAAACTTTTATCTGTTTGCTGAAAGTGGAGCTACTGAAAGGGTTATCTATGATAGTGGGGAAGCTGTTTCAGACATTTGAGGTGGCATGGAAGAAAGCACACGAGAAAGCAGGCACAGGACACAAGTGGCAAGATTAGGTGGATTGTAAAGCCAGGAAGGAAGTTTAAGAGAAGTTGAGGGTAGTGGTCATGATGGAGGGCTTGAAAAGTGAGGAGAGGGCACTTGAAAAATAGTAGAGGCTGATGCAGAAACTCATGGAGAAAGAAACATGTACAGAATGACTGAAAGGAAGAAAATAGTGGTCAGTTTCTGTGCTGATACTTATTAATTAACTTTGTTAGTATTTTGCATAACATGTATTTGAGTTATAGTATTAGGTTGATGTGCCCTAACCTTAATTTTGTGTGAACCAAAGGAAAGCTAGATAGCAAGCTGTAAATGTAATTCTGTCATAGCTAATTATTGTTGAAGGTCAGATGTTCCTCTCCTTTGTTAGTGAAGAATCAGTAAATTGAATCAAACCTCATAAATAGATTTAGCAGAGTTAATGTTTGTTTGGGGCTAATTGGCCCACAGCCACAATATCTTATTTCAGGTCACTTTGAAACAACCATTTGGTGGCTTAATAGAGCAGAAGAGAAATAATAGTCCATCTGGTACAGATATATGCTCTTTCTCTTGACATGATGATGGCATTTGCACTGTCCAATCTAAAGATAGGAAGTGAATGGTTTGAGTTTTGATGTTAACGTTCAAATTTAGTCTTGTTGTAAAATTCATGCAGTGGCAAGCAGTGTTATTCAGTCAGTTGTTCTTGTTGCATTTCCTACTTCCAGTTGGTCTCTCTGGAAATACAAAATGCAAGTTCAGGGTTAGATCATCCCTCCTGCAGGAAAACTACACGATGATTCTGCTTAGTTTCTTTGGATTCTTCCATTGCAGTGGTGGCGTACTTTTGTACAAGCCCCTGCAAAAAATGTAGGGAGGTTTCACCTCTCCCTCCCCAGTAACACAGCTCTATTGGAGCAGTGCTCTCAGGAGCTCCCCTGCCATAGGCTGTCCTTAAGGACTCCTCTTAAAGGGATGCTCTCCATTGTAGAGGGGACTCTGCAGGAAAGCCTTTCTAATACATTCCCAGACCTAAAGAAGAGCTATGTGTAGCTTGACAGCTTGTACTTTCCACCAACAGAAGGTGATCAGTAGAAGATATTATCTCACCTACCTTCTGTCCCAAGCTATTATAATGTGCCTCCATATTTCCCTCCGGGTTGGTAGGGAAATATTTTGCATCCTTGTGTCCCTGCTCTCACCTCCTTCCATACTACAGGACCCTGACCCTGCCAAACGATCATGAATCCACGGACAGATTCCTCTCAATGTCCTTTCACGTGGGCACAGACAGATATGTATATGGAGCATCCACTGCACTTGCAGATCTGCAGGACATGATCTGCTCCCTAAATGTTTGTGTTCTGTAGATGCAAAAAAAGTGGGAACACTAAAACATCCTTCCAAAGAGGCCTACTTTGTATAGTGACCAAAAATCTCATGAGCTATTAGCTGTCCACTAGCCTCTCTAATCCATTCAGAGTAGGAAATGATGCTGAGGCGGTTAGGGGACAGGTGACCATGTTGATAGTCTTGGTAGAGAGGTCCAGATTTGGATGGACCATAAAAACCAAACTTGGCTTCCTACTGCCCTCTTGCAAAATGCAGCTGAGGTATATTGGCAGGAGACTCTGTAGGGCAAATCCCTGTTGCTGTCTGTGCCTAGGGTGACCAGATGTCCTGATTTTATAGGGACAGTCCTGATTTTTGGGTCTTTTTCTTATATAGGCTCCTATTACCCCCCCACCCCCTGTCCCGATTTTGCTGTCTGGTCACCCTATCTGTGCCACACCTGTTCTGCAGATAAATAGAGAAAAGCCTTTGGTCTCTGATGTGAGCTCTCTCTGCAAATTTGTTTAATGAAGGAAAGTCTCTCTTCTTAGATTAACAAGATTTTCATAATGATGTAGAGCTTGATCTAGCTTCCAAACTGCAAAGGGTATAAAGACAGTGTAGGGGTAAATAAGTCCTATGCAATGTAGTCTGCTTTTAAAAAAAAAAAAAAAAAAAAAAACCCTGAAGATTGGACAAAAGAAGCAGTTTGAAGTGGCCAGTGAGCTACAGGTGATGCAAGTTTGCGTACTGTCAAGACTCTGCAGGTGCTGTCTAGACTCTGCCTTGACAGAACTAGAGAGACCAGGTGAAGGCATTGAAGAGATGGATGAACTTGCACTGTTGGCAGTATGACCCAGACTGAGGCCTCCACGATACAGTGTTGTGGTGGGTAGGGTCTCTCCTTCCTTCAGCCACTTACTGTATTTGGTGTGGTCTTTCTGTTTTGCTGAGATCCTTAAATACCTGATTTTGTTCCTGTACCTTTGTTCAATCACCATGTTGGAACAAGGCTTCTTTTATTTCCAGAGCTTGCTAAGTTTTGTCTCCGAGGGACTCAAAAGCCATTGGGGTTATAGCTCTGAGCCAGTTGAATTTGCAATGAGATACTTAGAATTCTGAAAGCGTAACGAATAGAAGATTTCCAAGTTGATCTAACTCTGGCTAATTAACATAAAGGCTCACCTAGATAGTATCTCTTAGAGCTGACCTGGGGCAGCAAGGGACCTAAGGGACTTCCTTTACTTCAGATTCCTCCTCTGAATCGTCAGTTAATGTGAAATGATTATAAAATTATTCTTATATCCAAGAAACGCACTTGCCAGCAAACTGATGAGCAGGTGAACTCAAATTTGTCCAGAGATGTGAAAGGCTCTCCGTCGCCATGACTGGCACACTAAGGGAAAGCAAAGCACCCAGCACGAAAGAACCTCTTCCCACTGTTCCCATGGAGGTGGAGAGAGCTGCTGAGAGCAGATGCCCTATGTCACTGTAGCCCAGAGGAAGGGGATGGAGTTTGATTATGTTAGATGAAATGGGATCATTCTGCGTTGGGCACCCATTTCTCTTTCACATATTAGAGTAACTACAGAGGCCACAACTAGTCTGAAACTCTTTGAGCGTGTCTGCACTATACAGATTGGTGCTAGCAGTCTTATTCAGGGTGATGAGGGTCCTGATTCAGATTATTGCATGTTGTCTTTTTTTGCCAGTGTGAACAGGAAAATACTGTGCTATTCCCATTTTTTTAGGCAGTCTTAACACTAAAATTGTTCCCTAACACTGTCCTGTTTTCCCATCTGCACTGGCAATAAAAAGTAACATGGATTTCTCCCTGCCCTCAAGGGAAATAGTACTATCACTGATTCTTTGCTCTTATCACATAGGCAGCCTTGTGTCTCTTGCTATTTTAAAGGGATCGTCGGGACAAATCTGATAAAAGGGAAGCATTTAAAAATCTGAAACCAATAGAAATGTTCCAAGATTTTTAAAAGATGTTTATGGAAACAGTTTAACAAACATCCTCTTGTAGTATTTGCAACCAAGACCTTGCAGCAGTTTGCTAGTGCATGGGAACTTGGATGTGAAACTGACCTATTCTCTACAAATCCTTACAGTCTTAATAATGAAAGAGTTTAAAGAAAAAAAACTACTGATGGAGGTTAGACATTTTTAACCTTCATGTTTGTTTAACCTTTTCCTTGTAAAGCATCATCCTACTCTCTAAAAGACCGAGACCAGCGGAGGCACCAGGCAATGTGGCGTGTGCCACCTGACTTAAAGATGCTGAAGAGACTCAAAACTCAGATGGCTGAAGTTCGAAGCAAAATGTCTGATGTAAAAAACCAGCTGTCAGAAGTAAGAAGCAGCAATGCTGGCTCTTGTGAGGGGCAACCCAGCTTCCTCCCTGGTGATCAGGGGCCTTTGGCTGCCTGTGGAACAGAAAGCTGCAGCAAGTTACAAGAAATAGGAATGGAGTTGCTGACAAAATCATCAATTACAAGCTGTTACATAAAGAGTTGTAAGTGTGGGATGGGGGAGGAGAAGGCTTAAAGCTGTCACTTCTGTAGATGGCAGTTGTGTAGACGGATACTGTATCTAGGTGTCTGGGAATAATGCTCAGCCTTTTTATAGTTCAAACTTTATAGCTGAGTTTGTTTATAGTAAATATCTTTTGAGAAGCAGAAACATGAAACTCGTGTTTATTGACAGAAATTAAATGGCTTCTCTAGAAACTGGTTCTAACGTTTTCAGCAAGCGCATTATAGTTATTAATATTCCAGAATGTGATAAGAATCTTTGAAGCCCACTGCAGATGTTATTTATCTAATTTCACGTTGACCTTATGGGTAGGTAGCATGAAGTTTAATCCTCTGTAAAGACAATTTTTGGTGGCAAAGGTTACCTGCAGACTATATGCAGATCACCTCTAAACTTTCTCAAGTTTGTTACTAAAATGTGACCGACCTTGCAAAAATCCAAGCTGAAAAAGAAAAAAAAAATCTCATAGAGCTCCAGAGAGTGAGTAATTTCTTCTCATCACATGAGAATCTTTTTCTTCGAGTGTGTCTCAGTGTGAATCCCATAGTAGGTGCTTGTGTGTGAGATCGGAGTCTTTTGAATAGCAGTGTCACACACACACGTCCCCTGTGCCTCTTTATGCTCCCATACAAAGTCCTAAAGGCCAGGGCAGCCACAACTCTCCCCCAGTTCCCTCTTATTGCTCATGGCAGCAAGATGGAACCTAACCACTATCTGACCTGGTAGTTCTTAGCGCCGACTAAAGTTCTCAAAATGCTTCATAAATCTTCAGAACTCTTTTGATCTACTGGTATACGACCTTTGTGAACACCTTTGACCCATCTGGATTGAATACTGATTGCCAGACACTTCTGTACGCTCCCTTGATGTACAAGGATTTGAAACCTGTGGGCTTCAAGCTTGCCCATTCTGTGATGGACTAATTCTTTTGAAAGATGGACATAGCAGGTGCCTCTTGTGTTTAGGAGAGTCACATATACTGAGTAGATGTTCGGTGTGCATATTTTTGATCACAAGAATGTATAAGTCACATGGCCTGGGGTTGAAACTTCATCTCCTGGAGCAATCTATGAAGGCCTCTTCAGATCCTGAGGAGATGGCACCAGAGTCCCGACAGCGGACAAACAGACTTCATCAAGCAGCCATCTAGCAGACAAACAACTACAAAGACCAGTGCAGAGAAGATGACACCAAGAAAAGACCTGGCATCAGCACCAATGCCCCCAGCACTGAAGCAGACTCCACCTGTGTTGCAGATGTTGGCACTACAGCAGACACAGTGACACTGAAGTCTGGTACTGAAGTCCAGCACCAAGAGGGGCCATTCTAGACAGGAGCAGAGACTCCACACGGTGCTCAGAGCCTTCCTACAAAGAGAGACCACATAAAGTTTCTGGGGACAAATCCACAAAGTCCTGCACAGCTCTGAGGGCTGATGAGCAGCCTGTGGCACAAAGGAAAACTTCTCCAGCACCAACTCAAGATTGGGTGTCGTGTCGCACCGCTCAGCAATGATGCCTATAGTAGATGAGCCTCTGGATGAGCTAGGTCTGTAACCATTACTGAGGTACCTGCTGGTACCGGTACAGACCCTGGTACCAGGAGCGCCATCCACATTTCTCTGTACTGCCCATATAGGTGGTGTATTCCTCCTCTCCATCACCAATGCATACGTTCCCAATGTCCTTAAGCAGAGAGCCCTCTCTTCTACAATCTGTGATCAATATCCCAAAGAGGCCTGCCTGCGCTCCCTACAGGACCTAACTACTATCCCAAAGGAACGGCATTGGACTAGTCAGTATCAATATGGGGGGAGGGATAGCTCAGTGGTTTGAGCATTGGCCTGCTAAACCCAGGGTTGTGAGTTCAATCCTTGAGGGGGCCACTTAGGGATCTGGGGCAAAATCAGTACTTGGTCCTGCTAGTGAAGGCAGGGGGCTGGACTCGATGACCTTTCAAGGTCCCTTCCAGTTCTAGGAGATAGGATATCTCCATTCATTCATCAAGCTAGCCAGCGATATCCCCATGACATGCCACCATCACCTTGTTGGGCTCACTGGGTGTTGCCATGTGCTAGGAGCATGCTGGAGAGCAGAAGTGATCGCTTCCCCATCACCTTTCTGCCAGACCACAGGGAGGGCCATCAAGAATAACCAGATCTGGGGGCTGAGGAACACCAATGTCCTGCTTTACCACCAAAAGACTTCTCATCCTTGTTGCCTGCTGAAGTGGTGTCTTCAGCATAACTTCCAGTTTTCCAGGAGCTCCTTCTGAGAATTTCAGACCCTCTAGGGAGGGCTGCATTGGAGAAATGTCGTAAGTTTTGATATTTTTGACAACTGTGAGTCCATTCAGAATTGCTCTTCCCATAAATGAGGGACAGCTTGACCTAGCTAAAGCCTTGTGGCAGATGCTGGCCCCTGTACCAGGTAGAGAAGCAGCATTAGGTTCCTTAAGCAGGTTTTGAGTTCTTTATGCCCACCCCAATCCAGGTTCCTTGGTTGAAGATCTAATTTATACTTGGGATTTTATCTTTGAGCCACTGTCAGATTGTTCAATACATCATACCCTTAAGTTGGTTTTCTTGGTAGCTATCACCTCTGCATGCAGGGTCAGTGCACTCCAAGCCCTTACTCCTGGACCTCCTTATGCATCCTTTTATAGAGAGAAGGTGATTCTGAATTCATCCGTAATGTGGTTTGGGAGTTTCATCTAAATCCATCAATTAACCTACCAGTTTTCTTCCTGAAACCATTCAGCACAAAGTGAGAGAAAGATTGGTACTTTGGATTTTTCCAGAGCATTACTCTATTACATTGATAAGACTAAAGCTTTCAGATGCTCTCCCCCTTTTCATGACTGTAGCTGGCTTGTCAAAAGGTTCTCTGAGTGGATCCCACTCTGCAACTCCACCTGTTATCAACTACTAGCACACGTCTCCCTTCAGTTGTCAAGTTACGCTCCATCAGGACACAGGCAGTGTCATCAGCCTGCTTCAGAAATGTGCCTGAATCTGAATCTGTAAAGCAGTGATGTGGAGCCAACCCACTGACTTTCGCTGAAGATTGCACCCTTTCCATGGCAGCCAAGTCTGGTGCTAAGTTTGGGAGAGCAGTACATCAATCCTTTTTACCAATGCAGCTGATGCTTCTTGCTCCCACCATCAAAGGAGAGTACAGCTTGTCAGTCACCTACAGTGGGATCAGCACTGACACATACTTGAAGAAGAGAGAACCATTTCTTACTCTGTAGTAACTGTGGTTTTTTGAGATGCTGTAGTTAGTGTGAATCCCATGACCTACCCTCTGTCTCTGCTTTTGAAGTCCTCAGCTAGCATGGGCTTTAAATTGTGAGGGACCTGAGGGAGGGTTGGGGGACTACTCCGCCTTCTACACGCTCACACCAGGAACACAAGGAGACTTGGGCCGCATGTGTGGCCTCAACAGACATTGCTATTGAAAAGACTCCGATCTCGTGCTCACGTACAGTGGGTTCTCACTAACAATCCCATCTCGAAGAATTAAAGTAACCATTCCTGATCTGGTCTCAGGAGCATTATTGATTAAGCGAGTGGCTTCTTCCCAACATACCTTCACAACAGGAATAATATGTAATGAAAACCTTGAAGGCGTTTGAGAGATTCGGAGAGAGGGGGACAATATGGTGGCCTCAAGAATAAAGGGGAAGAGAATGTCTAGTGCCGTTGCATCAGTTAGTTCCACTTCAGGCCAACATAAAGATGGGATGATGCAGAGAATTGACTGGATGCCTAGGCAGTACATTCACACGCCTTTCGATTAAATATCTTTGCAGTCACAAGTAAGAAAAGTAATTCGCCCAAAGCTACTCGTTCTGGAGCAGCAGGGAGCCTGTCTCTTCGAAGAGCAATGGACTGTGGGGACAATAATCTTCGCTCAAAGGGAGATTGTCAGACTTCCTCTGAAGGTAAACCTGAAATGTGGGAGTGCTTTAAATATGTTTTGGAATGCATCGGGGAAGAAGCTTTTTAACAGCATATCCTTGCTCATAAAGTTCCCGTCTTTGATTAAACTTTGTACGTAAACCAGATACTATTTCCCCTAAATATGATTAACATTATTGCACCAATACAGACCTTTGAGAACCCATTACACCATCTTACTAAGCCTTTGTGTCTAGCGTTCATGCTCAGTGTTCCTGGGACTTCCATTTTCTAACAGTAACCTGCCTATCTTAAATAGTTTTAATACCCTAAATTGGTGTTTGTAGTATCTTGTATTTAATTACTACATTTACAAGCAAGTTACTGCTGTAACTTACCAGCCAGGATTTAAATTCTGGGTTCTGTTTTTTCTAAAGGAAATACAAGAAAATTCTGCTTAAGTTCTTGTGAGACTTACTCCTGCACCATGTGGTAATAGATTTGGACATTATGGCCACCAGGAAAACTCTTACACTTTTTAGTGCAGCTCTACCAGTGATAGCAACAGTGAAAACTGTAATGCAGCAGTTCTCAAATTGAGAATTGCAAATGGATTTGGGGGCAGGGGGTTATGGTTCATGCTAATGGGAGTGGGATCCCAGGGAGAGGTCCCAGAACAGAAAGAGATTGAGAACTACTGCTCTCGTGTATGCACATGGGAGCAAAATCATCTGTACCCTGAACTGTACAGTTTTCACCATTGCTATCTCCAGAGGTGCTGCACCAGTGCAGAGAAACACCTCTATATTTTCCCTATGTAGACCAGCCCCATAGATGGATCTATCTCTGTTTAAAAAAAAACAGATATTTATTTTTCTGTATTAGTGCACCTGCGGAATTGCTGACATATGGGAAACTAATTTTCATAGTTCACACAAATCCAAAAGGTTAATCTATACTGTACTGAGAAATCTTGTAAGTGCTTTTCTGAACCTGTGCTACCAAAAGTGGAAGCTGGAGGTGAGAGGATATATGTTTCTGGAAGGTACACATTAAGTGATCCTAATGGCAAACGCTGCTCAGATGGTGACTTGAAAAATTTGAAATGTTTCATAAGAGCCAATTATCTTCACCTTTTCTCTTCTTAGGTTGCATAGGAAGCTCAAAGTCTGGCAGTAGGCATGGCTCTCCCAGGTCCCTGACTAATGGTAATGCTCCTGATGCACTGCCTAAGCCAGAGGAAAGGGAGTGTGAAGGCTCAGATTCTGATGTGGGCGTTTCTGCTTTAAATGGCTTAACTATGGAGAAGACAAGAAAAGCTATCGCTCTGGGGTAAGTGCTTTTCTCGCTGAATTATAAATAGAACATTCAAAACTGCTAAAATCGAGCCTTTTATGTATCAAGGAACGTAAATTACTTTGAAGTCATTCATATTTTTCTGCTACTCCCTTTGGACATCCAGCTTTGGCCCATAAGTGAGTTGTATGTCCTCATTTTTCTATTTATAGAACTTTTGAGGGTCATAACAGCTCATTTTAACTAAAGCTGAAGCATCAGTAGCTGTAGTCTGGCCATTTAGATTTCCCCATTTAGACTTGCAAGTCAGACTTTTGTCCGTTTTTCTAATATTTCCTATTTTAATGTTCTATCCACCAGGATTTTACATCTGGTTTCCTTATATCGGAGAGGATATTTCACTGAGAATCCACCTTTCCTTTCTTTTCCTCACTTCTGATTTTTCTGTGCTTCTCCAAATACAGTTTATAGTTGCACAACATGTATAGTAGTAGTTTTGAAGTATGCGATCAGGTTTTTCTAAATAGCAAGCCAATGAATGGTGGGGTGGGCTGTCTCTTGGTTCTTTTGTGCAGACAGACAGTTATGTTGAATTGTGTGCTTGCTTTCTGTCATTGATGTTAGGCAATAGTATGAAAGGGTAGCTTTAAGAAAACTTAAATGTACATGCTGTGTAGTGGTACAAACTCCAGGTGCTGAATGTGACATAGCATTGTGGGTCAGGGGAGGATGCGTTCTTTGGAGAGCATCAGTTATGTACTTTCAGATCTCAAAATGGAACCCTGTAAATATGCCAAATAACTTCCAAGTTGGAAGTTCCCAGAAGCTCCCCGATGCTAAACTGCGTGGAGCACTAGGAGGAAAAGCTGCCACCATGGTTGGGTTTAATGCTTTAGGTGCTAATGCTGTTTTTTTCCCCCAACCCCATTTTAAGGTCAGATTCTAAAGGATGTCATACCGAAGGAACACAACCAACTGATCAAGAGAACAACTCGGAAACTGGGGAGCTACAGGCCATTCTCTCTGAGGGCACTTCAGCAGAGCCAGAGGAAGGTAAAGGCAAGATCAAAGAAAATAAATGCTCAAATACTGTAGTGACACTTTAAAACAGAGGTCGTTAATTATTTTTTGTCAAGGTCCCAATTTCTTGGTCAGGGTATAGTCAAGGTCCAGACTCCAGGGAAGATAATAAAATAATAACAATAATGATAATAAGTAAATTAAAAGGTTGTAGACGTTCAAAAGCATCTAGCGGTCTGGATTTAAAACAAGAGTGTTTCTGTAAACTATGTAAAAATCTGTTTACTTGGAGGGCTGAACTTATGTTGCAACATTTGGTAGATTTATAACGAATAAAAGGACGACTCCTCAAGTGTATGACAGAGCGGCGTGATGGAATTCAGAGAGCACAGAGAAACTTTTCAAGGAGCTTTTTCTTAGTTTACGTTTCTGGTTTATTTTTCTACCCCTGGATGCCTGTTTTCATCTTAAGACTTAAATTAGTAATTTGCCAAACCTCATCTCTAAAGTTAAAAGATGGACTGCACTTGTGTTCCTATTAAAATACAGCAAGAGACCTTTTTGGGTATAAGGCTTCTGCTTGCAGGGGTACGTCTGGTGGTGACTGGGACCATGTCTGCACTGGACACCTCTTAAGTCTAGTTTAAATTGGGGTTTTGCAATATGCAAGGTCCACTAATTCCTCTGAAAATCAGAAGAAATCTCAGTTGTTGAAAACGCATTCCTGTCTCTTTCACCTGGTCTTTCCATGCTGGAGAAAATATTGTTGGCTTTCTTATTGATATTCCATGCAGAAGTGTTTTTCATATCTTGCTAAAACTCGGCTGCCTTCCACCCCTGCACTAATTTGAATTTCAATGACTGATGAATTGTAGCTCAAAGCCTATATTAAGGTGCCAGCATCCATCTCTATCTGCAGTGTGCAATATTGTGTAGGTGTTGGCATTTGCAGAAGGTCTCTGTGACATAAAACTGAATTTCTTCTCTTAGTCACTGCAGCGTGATCATGATGTGTTCCTGCAGTTCTCCTGTTACAAGAGGAAGCATTAAGAGGAATTTTTTTTTTTTTAAGTAAAATATTTCATTGTTAAAACCCCAGGAAACAAATATTACAATTTATTTCCTTTCACAAAGGAAAAATTGCAGTAGCATAACCATTTGTTTTCAGGTAGCTATGATTAGCTGTCAATTTTGAGAACTAGCTCTTTCTTTGGGAGCATGTTTCATACACAAGAGCAAACCCAGTTTCTCCATCTGACTTCAATGTCAGGTCAACGTGTTGTGCTTGTGCGTTTATACGATTGTAATTCCAGAAAGTCTTCAGAGAAAAGGGCGGTTGAAGGAGTCACGTTTACATTTTTTTTACTTAGGTCTGCTCAAAGAAGACAGTGCCTAGAATTTCACAATATGTCAAGGAAGCTGCTTTATGCCATTTTAAGAGTTCAGTCAACTCTTGGGCAAGGCAGTTGGAAGAGCACCTGGAGTTGCTGTTTTCTCAGAACCATTTGCATTGGATCTCGTGATAAGATCTTTTGAAATAAAGGGGTTTGGGCAAGGGGTGAAATTATATGAAGTTGTGGAAATCTTACTACTCATTTAGTTGACCTGGGGTGTATGGGCAAGGAGTGGAACATCTTTGCTCTGGGGGACTGCACTGCAAAACCATTGGCATCTTGTTAGTCATCAGTGCCACTCAGTCCATCAGCTGATAGCCAGCACAAAGCAAACCAATCCAGACACCATAAAACCTGTGTAATTTCCTGTTTTGGTTAGTTTTCAACCACTAATCATTAAGGCTACATTTTAGTCACAGGTATTTTTAGTAAAAGTCATGGACAGGTCACGGGCAGTAAACTAAAATTCACGGCCTGTGATCTGTCCATGACTTGTACTATATACCCCTAACTAAAACTCGGGCTGGCGGGGGTGCTGTTGGTGTGCAGCCCAGGATCCCTGCTAGGGGAGGGGGGCCGGGCTGCTCGAGACCAGTGCTGGGGGAGGGAGGCTGGGCAGCAGCGTGTGGCTCGGGACCCCTGCTGATGTTGGGGTGGGAGGGTTGGTGGGGCTAGTTGGCTCCCTACTGGGCTCTGCACAGCTTCCAATCCCCTGCCCCAGCCCTGAGCCCCCTCCCATACCCAAACTGCCCCAGCAGCGGCTGGTACGACTGGCCTAGGGGCTGCCTGATCTGCTTGGACAGCCCCAGAGCCAGCTGCTGCAGAAGTCACGGAGCCTTACTAATCATTAGTTTCAAGTAGTGGCAAGACAAGGGGCTGTCTTCATTTGAGAAGAATAGGATGAGATATATTTGTAGGAAAATCATGTTGTCATGTGTTTGTGACCTCTGAATAGGAAAGTTAACCTGATTGAAATGTGTTGCTGCTTGGAGGAGTCGGCCTGTAAGTCTGCTTAAAAGGCCATGACACGTCTTAAAACTAGTAAAAAACATTTGGACTTCAGTTCACTTACACAGTGGTCCACTGAAGCATTGGTAAGAATGGGCTGGCTGCCAGCTGAGGAAAGCCACTAAAGCAGAAAGGAAATGCAGTTATACAAGTTCACACTTACACCGTTTAGTTGGATTTTTATAGAGTTGCTCCTTTAAATTAAGTCTCCATTGAATAAGATAACCAGACTGAGAACATTTTTAAAACTGTTCCCCAAGCATGTTCTGCTGTTGATCCCTTAGTGCTTTGGTAAATAAGTTTACACACTGCTCACTTTATCTTGTTCTGCCAAGCCCGAGAATTTGATGTTGGTGCGTCTTGGGAAAGAAAGGAAGCTGAGAACTTTGTGGCTACAGGAATCTCACTGCAGCAGGTTCTCCTTTGCTCTTTGCAGCTGGGCTATGTCAGAAGCACGTCCTTCACCTCCTGCCAGGCATGAGCAGCGATAGCGACATTGAATGTGACACAGAAAACGAAGAGCAGGAGGATGCCACATCCACGTCAGATGCGTTTAATCACGCCTTCGATGTCCAGCCCTCAAGTGAAGGTAGAACAATTATATTGTGCAATCAGAGGGGCAGCTTTCCAAATGCTACTCCTGACATGGCTCATGGTTCTTGTGGGTAAAGGATACTATTCGGGGCTAAGTTATTGCCAAAACTGTGCAAGTGTTGGTGCCAAATGAAGCCTTCCAAATATTATCAGTTGGTGCTTGAGATCTCATTTTAAAATGGAGGTAAAGAAAGTGAGAGTGAATTTTTCCTAACATTGAGATCTAAGACAGGACCAGTCTCCCAGCAAAAGTAGCAGAAGTCCCCTTGCTTGAGTTACTTCAAAGTGGACTTGATTAAGTACCAGAGAGTAGACTAAATGACTTAACAGGTTTCTTCCATCTCTAACTTGCCTCTGTCCAAGGCTGAAAGCCACAGAACAGGTGTAATGTTATGGCATTGTGTGATGGCAGGATGCAGAGAGCATCTGCTGTGGACGGCAGGTCCCCTGGTCACTGCAAAGCTGTGGTATCAGAGTGGTGAGTTGGAGAAGAGGCATGGGAACCTGTGGCTTCAGATTCACCATCCCAGTTGTGGATGAGGGATACAGCTGTTTTGGAGGCTACAGTAGCAGCCAGCATGTAGGCTGTAAGATTGTCTCTGCCCTCTGCATAAAATCTGACTGGCTTTGGGGCAGAAGAGTGGATTTGGCCCCAGTTATGTAAATTCTCAATTTTCATTGCAGAAAATAACAGTAAATGAGGGGTGGTAGCCGAAATGTCTCCTAGTAATGAGTTTGCATCTGAACTGACAGTAAACTGCTTTTGAATACTTCAGCTCAGTTTTAAAAGTATTGAAAGAGTCTACCATTTTGTTCTGTGAAAATGTTCAAAAACATCTTAAAGGGTACTTGTAAAACCTTTACATGATTGCTAATTCTAAATAAGTTTGGTTACAGGTTTGGAATAAATAACAATATTAATAGTCTAATATAATCAGTGGAAGATCAATGTCTTATTCTGAATTAGTAGTTTACTGCAGAACTCCACAGCATAACACTGAATATTACATTGCTGACTCACAAAAAAATTGAAACCAACACCAATTTGTACTCCACCATCATAGTTTTAAAATTGTAGAGCAGACTAATTCAGAATAAGGGTTCCAACTTTGTATCTGTCTTTCACATGTTAAGAATAAAATCTTAATCTCTCAAAGAATTGCTGATTATAGAGCTCATTAAATTACAGATTTTTAAATTTAACTGGTTTGGGGGCTTGGTCTTTAAGGATGCCATATAATTGTTTTTCAGTATTAGAGCTGTGTTCAGTTTTTTCTGAAGGTGATCAAATAGGCCCTGAAGACCTCAGCTTTGGTACTGGAGAGGACAATACAAGGTAATTGCTAAAATAAGAACATTGACTTAATGGCAGTTAACTTAACCTAAGTCTTACTGTAATTTGGTTTGATAGTATAAAGTTTTGCTGTGTCAAGAAACTGACCACTCCATCTGAAATACTCCCAAGGTGATGCAAATGCTCCCTGCAGTGCTCATTTACATGAAGGATATAAAGATGGAAGGGCATTATGTAATAACTAATATCCTACAACTTGTAAATACTTCCCACTTTCCCATTGCTGCTGAAAGTAGATGAGATCCTGCTCCATTTCTTTGATTTACTTAAAATGTCAAGACCTGTTAACTAATCTGCTTTGTCGATAATGCAATTGCTAGAGGTAATATAGCACCAAAGCAGGGCTCATTGGGGGGGCTCACATTCTCCTACTCCTTGCTGGTTGTTAATTTAGTATTTATGTACTTATCTTGGGAATTTTTAGATTTAAGCACCCTAAATCCTTTCTAATCCACAAAATAGCGCTACTACTATGGGCTCTTTTTAACGACTGAGATTGCATATGAACTGTCTCTTTTGGGCTAGGTAGAGGATTGGCTTGTTGACTGCAGAAGACTTTGAAGAGTTGGATTAACACTAGCCTGCTTGTGTCCCTGAGAAGAGGCACACTTCATAATGCTTATTTATTCCATCTGTATTTTTCTCATAGGGTGTGCACATTCCATTGTGCTGAATATAAAAGATTATGTAGTTCTTCCATGGCTGTTTTAAACCTGTTAATAGGGCAAGTTGCCCTATGAAAAACCTTAGCAAGACTGTATTCTTCATGGCTTTGGCAGGTTCAAATGCAGATTCTGAACAAATGTTCAAAAGGTGCTAGAGCCTTGTTCATATTTGTCTCCTTACGATTGATACAGCAGAGAATGTGGGGGAAGATCCTTCCCTTTTTATTATTAATGGTATGAAATAACATTGTAGTTGTATTCATAGGGATCTAAGCTATTTAAAGTTAGGGTGAAAGTGGCCTGCACAAGAGTTAGTTTGTATTTGTTTTCTTCAGTCTCTAATTTGGACCAACTGAGAACATCGTTGCCAAACTTTTTACCACTGTGCATTGCATTTGAGCAGCTAAAATGTTTTGTGAAGCTATAATGAAAGCTGAATAACGGGCTGGTGAAAAAGCATGAATAAGTGTATAAATGGTAGGTGAGTGTTCTCATCTGACTGTACTTGCTGAAACATTCGTTTTGTATGTAATGGTCCCCAGTGTTTAAGTGCGTACAAATCATATAGTTTAGTTTAAAACTGTTTGCACTTTTTGTTAATAAAATGAACATTGAAATACTGTGTGAAATTATTTTGAAGGGACAGGTATGATTGCAGGTGCTGATGGGAAAGAAATATGCTGCTACCCAGTTAGTGTTCAGTCTGGGTTTTTTAAAATCTACATCCTAGTGGCGCTGAACCAGTATGTTCAGGCCACAGTCTGCTCCAAATGAAATGCTGTGTGTCTTCCACAAGCAGTAGTCCTTAGGCACTCCCTCATGAACCAAATACCCACCCTCCCCTCCTTAAATTCCACTTCTTTCAGTCTCTACTATAATGTGGATTTCTTTAGTCATTGTCTTGAGCTTGACTGCAGTGGTGTTCACTGTATCATCAGTTTGTGTATCAGTGTTCTAGGCTCTCTCAAATACAGTACTCATCAGATAGGCTGTGTGAAGAGGTTGTGAGTAGTTTGAGCTCTCCCATTCTGTTGAATTTTAGCCTTGGCTTTTGAATTCATGTTAAGGTATTTGATTTAACCCTCTTTCACTGGTTTTGCTAACCGGGCATTGCCTCCCATCCTGATTACAGGAGCAGTCCAAGTTGATTCTAAGCCACGTGAGACTTGGGAGGGATAAATTGACTCCATGTCTCATGTAGGTCTTTGGTTATTCGAGTGTTACAGGGCCCCAGAAGCCCATACACTTTGTTCCCTACATGTCTTGCGAATAACAGCTTTCTCCAAGTTCACTAGCAATTGTACTGCTGCGTTTATGGATCCAAACCATTGGTCTGTATTCTCATGCTTCTAAGTATCAAGGAGCCGAGTCCTTTGTGAACATCTCCAAGTCCAGAACCTTGGGTCCTGCTTGATCATTTAGAAATGAGGACCAGCAGCCACCACTAGAGCTATGGGAGCAGCTCATTATTTGAAAGATTGACCTAGGTGCTACACTTTCAACTAGAAGGGGTCCTGGGGCAAGAGCCTGTTCTTGGATTCAAAATGAAAGCTAGGTATCTACACCTATTTCCTGGAAAAATCTTTATTTTAAACAGCAAAAAAACTAACCCATTTGAGCTGCTGTGTATGACTCCCTCTCCACTTGTGATTTTTATAGTTTCCTATGTGTATTGTATTCTGAAATACATTAGCTCCAGTTTCATAGTGAAACTCTCATCTAGAAGCTTTTGCTTATATACTGTTCAATACAATTGAGTGTGAGGGACTGGTGTGTTTTAGTTGAAGTGTCAAGACAGCTTGTGAATAATGCTCAGGCAGCTAGCGCCAGGTCTGCAGGGCCTTACAGAGCCCAGCCAAAATTCTAAGCTATTTAGTCCTTGAAGCAGTGTGGAAAATTTAACGCTAACAGCAATGTTTAAAAAAATACAGGGGATCTAAAAATGTAGGTTTGAAGTATGCAACTGTTGCTCTTCCGCTAATGGGCTATTGCTGAAAATGGCACAAAGTCAACTGTTACAACTAAGTGTCGTTCAAATCCTGCACATCCCTTTCTTTGTTATAAAATAGATAAGAGAACATTCAATACGTGGCTCCTCTAGAGAGAGGTAACAAGATACCAATTAAGCTACAGTTTAGGGAGCTACAACCTACTCCTAATTCTAGATTTGTTTAAATTGCAGCACAATGGTCAGATGCTCCTGCTTCCTAGTCTGCTTATGACAGTCAGATGCATTTTTAGTAGTAGGTAAAAGCAGTTTAACCCTAGCTAGAGAGCATCAATTTGAATTCTAAACAGTAAAATCCCATTAGACTACTGTACAGAAGCAGTTTAGCACAAGGAATGTGAGTTTGCTATTCTGAATTTGCCTTTAAATAAGTAGACCATTGAAAAACGTTTTAAATTGTTTTATTAAGATATTGATAAAATTTCAACATAGTCCTTATCCGTAAACACTTAAATAAAATATGGATGACTGTTACATGGATTACAACTGACCTCATGAGCTGTAGAACAAGGTTGCAAATGGAAAGATCCGAACACTGTAGCATAAAAATGATTAATTTAATTACTTCATAAAGAACATATTAGAACTTTCATGAACAAGAGAACAAGTATCTCTCAACAGAAGCACCCAATGTAGGAGCTGGCACCATACCTGGAGTTCTAAAAACAAGTTACTACTTTAAGAAAACAGGATCAATCTCTGCCAACTTTCCCTAGTCCTGTTTCCGTTTCTTCTAATTTAAAGGTAAAGAAATGCAGCAAAGAAAGATGTAAGTAAAAGAAAACCAATGCAGTCAACTTGTAAATACTTGAACTAAGTCTTTGAAGTGGGGGGTTTCTCTCTGATGTTTTAATGCTGGCAGCTACAGTGCTTTAAGCCTGATTAACAATGACTGGAAAAGGACATGAACATTTACGTTAGAGGTTGCATTTATGTTTCACTATTATTTATTGCATGCTATAAGGGTAGAACGTTTTATTTGCTGTTGCAGAGTTATGATCCAAAGAAAGATTGCCCTAAATTGTAGGCATGGACAAAGCTGTAGTATCCCCTTTAATGGCTTTGTCTATGTGACTAGTGTTGAATGAGTGACTACACTGTGCTAAAACAGCCACTAATTTAGATCAATCTTTCTCAGTGCTACAGCAGGACACTGCTAGAGTAAGAATTACCCAGTGGTAGGTAGGATAGCATAGTGGACTTGAACTACAGCAGTCATATCTGTAAACACTGAATTTCTTGTACCTCATGTTTATCTGTCCATAACACAATGCATTTTTCACTGACTGTGTTCCAAAAATGGAGCAGAGTTTGACAGTGTACCACTGTAAATGTGGTATAAGTTAAAATCTGCTTTGACATTGTCCTTAAATGTTACACTGCAGACTAAACTAAATAGTGAATTACTTTAACTTGCAAGGACAATTGATGGCACTTTTAGGTAAAGAAAAGTTATTTACATGTTTCCACTCACCTTTAGTGCAAATTGAAATGGGTTAACAGCTCCCTGGTCTGGTGCTATACTGCTCTCTGTAACAGCAGACATTCTTCAAGAGTTGCACATTTAAAAAGTGTACACTGGAAACTATTAGAGGGGGGACTAAATTAATCCCTTTAAAACTCACAGTGAATAGCATACCAGTGAGTTCTGAACAGCTTCAGACAAAAAGCCTGAAGTCCATTTCTCAAAACCAACACAATATTTTATTTTCACTACCTACCTTTTATTCCTGCAAAACATGTTTAATAGGTAAACTGAAACTGATGCAGATTGTGTTAACTTGAAAAAGGGATACTTCAGCTCTTTATTGGAAAGGTTATACAAATTTCACCACTACTAAGATACACAATAAAGTTACAAAACACAAGTCACAGACTGAATCTTAGAATTAACAGTTAATAAATACATTTATATAGATACTTTTATATTTGTCTAACTTTTTTTTTTTTTACATTATCACCAGATAGACGATCAAAATACAAGATACAGAACATTTAAATACCATTAGTTAGAGGGGAACTTATTGCTTACGTTAGCAAGCAGCAAATAAGGGCACAGGATTTTGAACTGAAGAGAACTACTTCCTATCACCAGTGGCATTAAGAGAAAACATTGCATTTCACAAAGCACTGCTCTTTTGTCTAGTGTGTAGAATCAAGAGCAGCATATATCAGACCAATAACACTACTTTTATATGTATTATAGAAGTTTAAAAGACTTACCTTACAAATGGTTCCTTTCTACTCTAAATGAATATAGTGAAGAAATGAACACTTGCTATTTATACAGTATTTTGCACTGGACCACACAAGAACTATGATGGCAATTTCCCTCCTAAATGGTCTGAGAAGCAGAATGATCTTTAGGTGTGGATTCATAAATGAACTACACTCTTGACAAGAGAGCATACACTCACTCCAGTATTTTTCAACCAGTCTTGCACATTGGGAAGTTCTATCATCCATAACTTTATCTTGACATATTTACTTAGACAAGGAATTGCACTTACATCACCTTCCAGTAAAAGTACAACTATCAAACAGAAAAGACTTTCAATGCATCTTCTATATTAGTGTGAGAAGTTTAAACAATGAAAAGGCAACAGCAAGATGCCCAAAATTGCATACTTTAGTATTCAGTGGTTTCTCAATTTCCTTAGTAAATTTGATTAGAAACATACAATACATCTGAAGAGAATGTTAACAACATCTAAGGCTTTGTAAGATGACAAATGTAAGAGCCAATGACTCTTAAAAAAACTACAAAATAATTACAGGAATCTAAAACCACACTTAAACTCCTGTTTGCTTACAGCTTTTTACTATTTCATCAAATGACTTTTGAAAGACTACTGATCTCAGCTTGCTCGTTGAGTCAAAGTTCAAGTCTTATGGTTTCAAATAATTTAGACTCTCCTGACTACTTAAATATTTTAACAAATTCTAGCTAACTGTAAGGCTGATTTTTAAAGTGTTACTGCTAAGATTGAGTGGTATATTAAATCATTGCTAAAATTAAATGCCGTTGGAGAATTACATTTTATATTCATACCAGTGCCAAATGAGTATTCCCATACTTAGTTATTGTGGCAAATAATCGTGGCAGGAGGCCTAATATGTTGTCTGATACATTCAACTGGAACAGTTTTAAATTACTTTTGTGTTCTAATTAACTATTCCTTTAAGAGTAAAACATCTCAAGGATAGGTTAGTTGGGTTTTTTTAAAAATAACGGGATAAGCAAATGGGCAACCCACATTTTTCATCTTTCTCTGCAAATCTAAATTTGTTGGAGCAGAGCTCTGGATTGTCAGTGCGTTTTATGATCTCAGCTAAGCAAAGCAACCACCCTCATTCATCTACATCCACAGCATTTCCATTCACTTCGGGTTAATATAGCAGTCTCACATCCATTTTCTGAATCTATCGGGAATACCAAGAATTCAGTAGTAGTGTCACACTCACTCCAGCATTTTATCATCCCTAAAAACTTCCACTTTATTTTAAATTATGCCCTTGCAGTCTAGAAACTAACCTAAAACAAAATCCTGATCAAATTGTTTATTCTTCTTAACAAGTAGTTCTACAGTTTGATC